ATTTTGCGCTATCTAATGTATTATATTTAAGAGAGCGGTTAACCAAGCGTTATCTGATGTTAAGATTAGAGAGCAGTTTCAAGTATAAGTGTAAGATTAGAGAGCAGTTTTGCGTGAAACTGCTCTCTAAAGTATAAATGTAGACTGCGAATCTAAAATTTAAAATTGATTTCTTTTTGAGTTTTCTATTGCAAAATAAAAATTTATTATTACGTTTAAATCAAAATTTAGAATTGATTTCTTTGTGAGTTTTCTTCATTTTTATCACAAATCAAAATTGAATCTTGAGTTATATATTTGGTTTTAACTAAACAGTCCACATCTGCATGAACCAAACACAAGTAAGCAGAGAAAAAAGAGAGAACAAATTAATAGAATAATTTTTAACATTAATAGAGAGAAAAAGAAAAAGAAAAAAAAATGAATAATTCACCGTTAACAAAGAGAAGAAGAAAGAAGTGCCTACAGATATAAAAAAACTAGCATAAAAATGAAGAGAGCGAACTAACATAAAAAAAAAACTAATTTATTAGCGAGAGAAGACGAAGAGAGCAAAAAAACTTACAGTGAAAAAGACCAGCTTTGTTAACTAAGAAGAAGAAATGCATTAAGCATGTTCATTTATAAATGACTTTAATAACATTAGAGAACGATTCTTTATTAACCGCTCTCTAATGTGTACTTTAGAGTGCGGTTAAGAGAGAACCGCTCTCAGAAGTATATTCTGAGAGTGGTTAACAAAGAATCACTCTCAGAAGTATAGATCTAAGAGCGGTTAATAGAGAACAGCTCTCTAAATATATAATTACAAAGTAATTTTTATTAATTGTTATCTAAGTTAGCGTTCTAAAAGCTCATTTTTAACGTAGTGAAGAGACTTAAAATTTTCCTATAATTATTCTTTTAATTCCATAAATTACAGGTATTTTTTATCATATTACATATTCTATGATTGTTCTTTATGTTATTCCATAAATATGGTGGATATATATATGCGATTAAGGTCTTTAGACATGTTTATGGATTTGGATCCACAATATACTCTTATTTTCTTTGAGATTCAATTGCCAAAACACTTACCTCTCTTTTATTTTAAGACAGATGATTCAAGTTACATAGACTTCCCGTGAAAGGGGAGAGTGTAGCTTTTGAAATCAGAGGGAAACCAAGGGTAATTAAGTTGAACTTCTAGGGAGGTTTGTCTAATGTTTTCTTAGATAAACTATAACATTTATTACTCTCTTAGAGGAAATTTTTATAGAGAGATTCTTGGTCTTGCTGAGTGATACTATATTCATTAGTAATATACAATCTTAATTATTAATTGAAATTTATTAAAAATTACAACAACAAAAAAAATTAGTCTTATTCTTTTTTATTTATATTTTTTATAATTTTTAATAAATTTTAACTAATAATCAAAAGTGTTAAAAAGAATACATTATTTGCATTCATCCTTCACAAAAGCTAACCAGCCATGTTCGCAATGAGGGATCTCTCTATTAAAGTAGAAAGGGTTATTGCAAATTTACTCAAAAACTAGTTGTAAGCGAATTGCTTACTGGCTTCGCTATTTCCTTCTAAATTTCGTGATGAACACATTAAAGTTTGAGTCAGACAAGTCCATTACGAAAGTTCGATGCAATTAATGAGTTCCCTGACAATTTCATAAAATTGGGCAAAATATTAATGCTTTTGGGTTACATATAATAGTCAACAACACGCCATACTCTTACTAATATAACACCCCATGTGTATGCCGAGATTTCTTGCCTTACTCGAAGGTTGCAGCATATGCTCTCATATGCAGATGAGGTTATGTTAAGCTATTAATTGGTAGTATTTCAGAGACAGATAACCAATGAAAATATTATCCTAATGCTTTTTTGAAAACTTAATAATTCTCTCACCTTCTCTACAATAAATGTTTAGGTCTTCGGTGCCCATAATAAGAAAGCAGCAACTGCTAACAAATGTCTAAGGGTTGCTGGTTTTGAAATGAAAAAAAAAAAAAAAAGATCAAAAAATATTATTAATGTTTCTTTTTTTTTAATTTTAATGCATTTTAAAGTATTTTTTAATTTTAAAAAACTTGCTTTCAACTTTTCAACCAATGTTCTTAAAACACTAATTAGTAATACCTTAAGAAAATATATTTCATTTTTGCATAATGGACTACAGTAATATTATATATTAATGATTTTCAATTTAATAAATTTAAAATGCTAAATAATACTCTAAAACCACTTTTAAAAGAATAAAAATAAAACTTTTATTTTAAAAATGAAAAAATATACTTATTTTCATAAATTTAAATATATTTTAATGTAATATTTAGTAAAATTTTAACATTTATCAATCATTTAAACAGTAATTTAGCAATTATTGAACACGTAAATAAACTAATACGAGTCTGCTCTAACTTAATTTAATATTTAAATAAGGAGTCTATTGCAGAATATGATACTGTTTGGTTCTGACAATATTGCTGAGAATTATTGGTGCAATGAAACTAATTGGCAGACACGTACACAATTTTCAAAAGAGAAAATCACTCAGACTGTTATCACAATTAGATACGAAATGAATTTCATTGATGGTAATAAAGAATTCTTACTTGCACGCCAAGGATGCTTCTTTAGATTGTGCAGTGGATAGTGATATTGCATTCTTCCCCAATCCCTGTTTGATTTTATGGTTGGTTTCCTGTTGTAAAGTTTGGAGTTTCCGTTTTTTAGATCATAGCTTATTACTTTATTGAACTCACTTTTGCATCATCTACGTTATTTAAGTAATCCAAAGAGGAAAATGAAAGGACAAACCATGGGGACCACGAATTGTGCAGTGTAGAGGCAAATTGTGCATTTGAAAGACTTAGGTAAAGTGGTCAATGCCCCACCCCAACATTTAATTAATTGCACGATAATGTCCATTTTAAAAGACTAGAGAGAAAGAGAGATGCCACATTTTCCTTCATTTATTTAACAATCTGCCTTTTCTTTTGAACCTTACACTTTTTAGGTGCACAAACTGCATTATGAAAATGGAAATTGCCACTGTAATGTGCATGGTGGTGTCCACAAGGCAATGGTTGAGAGGGCAAAACTTCCCTATTTTTGGGGTTTGGATGTGCTCTCCATGACATCCACCACTATTATGACCCTAGAGACAACGTCCTTTTGAGGATTTTATGGCTTACTTCGACAACCATGTAAAGAAATCTAAAATATTGTGATCATTTTCCCTTTGTTTTTTCAGTGCTTAGGATTTGTTGGAGGTGTGCCCAACTACGACATGATGACATTATTATATGGGACCACAGCAGGAGGCAACATACATCATCCGGCATGGGTGCTTCCATTCGGTCCATTCAACCTTAAGCTTGCATTAAATTAGAATTTGGGTGCTAGAGGAGTATCATAAATTTTCTTATAATCAAATATTATTGTATGGCACCATAGTCAGTAACATGGTCTCTTGTAGTCATGTTTAGCCGAAGCTATAAGTAAATAGCCCAATAATTAGTAACATGGTATATGCTCTAACCTAAACATACAATAAGTAGTACTATAATAAGTAGCTTGACTTCTTAAGCCTGTACCTATGTTATTAAATCCGAGTTAATTATTGACTCAAATAAATTAATTATTATGTTATTAATTCAATCAAAGAGTCGTCAATCAAACCAGTTGAAGTATTACACATTCACGTCTGTAAGTTTGTATATATGTACGTGACAATGAACATTACAACTGATATATAATTGCGCTGTAGTGATTATTGTTAGCTAGATTGGGGACAAAGGCCGGATGTATTGCTTGAGTAGCATTTGGTAAATATAATAGAGCAACCGATACAAAACATACGAGTTATATTCTACATTTATCAATTTAAAAAAATAAAAAATAAGAACTTTTTATAAGATGCAAAATTGACAAATTCAACAATTGAATTATTTTATATTATTTTTATAATCATGTATCATATATTATACAACTTAACTATTTGCAAGTATATTATTCAAAATTTAAAATTTATTTATATTTTAAAAATATATTATATATTAAATAAAGTAATATAATACAATAATTATTAATTTTAGTTTGAAACTCATGGTATGGGTAATTGGTAGTACTACTCTACTCATTCTAATCCCAGTGACAAAAAGACTAAAAAAGGAAAGGAAAGCCAAAGCAAAATTTTAATTCAAGGCTGAGTAATCAGCAAAGCCTGAGCTCTCAACTGCATCACTAACTAGGGATGGGAATGGGATTCGAGGTCGCGGGAACCCTTTGACTGGGTTGAGAGTTTTTTTTTTTTTTTAAACTCAACGGGGATCGAGGCGGGATCGAGTTTGGGGAGTAAAAGTGGAGTTTGGGTACCCACGTCGTTGCCATCACTATCACTAACATGGGGAAGTTGGCGTCAACCCCTAGCAGTAGTGAATAAGAACAGTGAAATTACTCTCCCAAAGGAACCGTCTTCTATATTTGTTCATTATTCATAAACCTATACCTGTTTCTCTATCTTGCTGGTGTTTAACTATGAACATAACCATTTTCATGCTTTAGCTCGCGTTTGGAAGCATATTTTCTTTCCATACGTGAGGCATCATGACAGCACACGGCAAACTATGCTTTCCAGGATCAACGTCTACGATATATCGGACAAACTTAAAAAAATTGGACCACTTTTACATTTCTACCCATTACAAATTTCAAGTTTTTCCATTGAAGTTTTTCCACTCATGAGTTCAATCCACCGTAAGCTTATGTTATAATTTGTTTCTAAGAAATGTCATTAGCGCAGAAATCAAGCATGAATTACGGACACATTATTGCTTAAGCAATCACTTGAGACCAGTGTATTTCTCTACCATCAAACTGCAAGTATTAACATCTAATCAAACAATAATTCACATGAAAGGTGTTCCATTGAGATAAGACAACGGAATCACCAGTAATATCTTAACACAAGAATTTCATTCACTCAAGCTCATCGCAATACTTTTACAGTAAAACCTATGACTTACAAGCAAATGCAAGCTGAACTATTGATGCTCTCTTCTGTACAGAACCTGCAATCTATGTTATCAAACAATACAACATAGGGTTAACAAAGCAATGGCCATTAGATGTATCATTGAGTACATATTTAACTGTACTGATCGGATTCGTCAGAATCTTCAGATGTCACATCAGAGTTTTCTTCCTCTTGGTCTTCAATTTCATCAATTTTGAGCGGTCTACGAGCAGAAGACATCTTGTTCATTGCTGCAGTTTTGCTAGCTCTTTGTGAGCGACTTTTTACAGTATGATGGGTGGAAGGAACCACAGAAGGTGAAGATTCATCAGAACTGCCTTCCTCAATCCTTACCCTTCTCCTAGAACGTGAGGGTCTAGTTGGGTGTACAGCTGGTGTTTGTAGCATTGCAACAGAACCATCCAAATCCACGTTGCAGTCAAGTTCCAATTTCCCTTCAATAAATAAGGTGGGAGAAGGAACATATTAGCGGTAAAAAAGGTTTTCCAGGAGAATCCCCATAAAAAACCAGTAAAACTGCCAAGGTCAATGGCCAAAGCCTTGGTTTGACAAGATATTCTGTTGGTAACTGACGAAAATAAAGAATATCAAAAATTAAGAATGACATTGGCTAGCAAATACTGCATTTGCTTTCAGAGTCAAATCTTTTATCATGGAAGATAAAAAGGGAAAGGTAAAACAGGTAGTCTAAATAAGTGATCCTTCGTATTATTGACTTAAAGTTTGGCTGGTTCATTTTATCATTTGCTTACTTGAACAACCCCTTTGATCAACCCCCACCCCCAACAGTAAAACAAAAAACGCGGGCGCCCAGACACCTGGTAATAATAAAGACGACTAGAGTCATTACAAAGCCTTATCACCATTTGAGGCTTTTGACAGATGACAAGAAGAAAAGAATCAAAGCCTAAGCATTTTAACATGTCAGACATCTTAGAAAAGAAAAATAAAACATTACCCAAAATGAGAATAATTTCATCTTGCAACAATTCCTGATCCGGTTGTCTATCTAGTGTCGTGAGATGTTCAGCCATCCGTTTCAATTCTTTAACAAGATCCTTCTCCGAAGATACACATTCAACCACGCGATATAAAAGCCTCCTCATAAATTTTATTGGTCCTTGTTCAGATAACCGAAATTGAAGCAGAACAAGTATTCTACATAATGCCGATACATATGACTTCTCAGCTGCTGTCTTCTTCGATTGAAAATTTGCCATCTTAACCAAGTACAGGGTAAGAAGCGAAAAAGAAATAGAATAAACAATAGTTAATTAAATTTGAACCATACAATATGAAATTCATGTATGCCATTTCATTAAGTGATACTTATTCTGCACTACATAATTATAAATAACTGAGGCCATTGTCTTGAAGTAACATCCGCCAGATTTAGGCACTTTTGGTGACAATGGGATGTCAAGCATCGATGAGCACACAGTTAAAACCAACGCTAGCTTGGCATTATTTGAATGTATCTCATACAAATGCTAATTTCTTGTAGGTTACACAGTTTCACTTAGAACTTGCTACAGAAATGTGGATGAACTTCTGAGGTTAGAGAAAGAACAAAACTCATTATTATAATATGGGACTCACCTTCAATCAGTATTCACTGACACTCGTCAAATAAATTTTATTCCCCAAACAATAATAAGTCCAAAATCCCAGTTTCTAGATTAAAACAACTGATTATGCAATACCGGGACATAACGACAAACACCAGCAAAATTATACATAAAAGACTAGAAGTTGATCAAGCAGTAGGTTTACAAACATGACTAGCGTTAGTTTTTCCTTTAGTCCACATTCCATGTTTTCGGGCGTCACACACTGTTTCTCAACTTAGTAAGAAAACGAGATTGCAACAGAGAAGCTCAAAAATAAGTTTTTCTCTATAATTAAAAAATCATTCTAAATAAAAGTTCCCAGTCATATGATGCAGATATCCTTTCATAATGCACGTAGCTTTAAGAACATACTCTCTCCGTTTCATATGTTTTGTTGTTTAAGATCTCTACAACATACAAGTTAAGAAAGCATTAATTATGTAGTATATTATCATATTTTTTACTAGAATAAAGGCTAAAACAACAAAACATATAAAATAAAATTAAAAGGTTAAAATAACAAAACAAATAAACTGGAGGAGTAGCAAACAAAGCTGAATTCTAAGGACCACCACTGGCAATTCCTACTAAGGTGCGGCCTTCGTATATTAATAGCGTCCCAGGTGTAAAAAAGAGTAAGGTTTAGCATATCTTTAACTAGCTTTAAATTTGTGAGGTTACCTCTACGGCTATGCGTAGTGCAAGCCCCTCCTCCCCACACTCAAATGGAACTTCTGCGCAACTATCTATGACTTGTGGATGTTCCGTGCTACTATTTTCACTCTCTGGCTGAGTCCCTTTAACGTATAAAGGAATCTGCACCATCTGCAGCATAAAACGGGAAGCTTGAACAGCACGCTTGCGCATCTGAGACACCATAAAAGAAGAACCCGCAGAATTGCCGAAAATTCCTGGCCACATTGAACGCATTACTGGAATGAAAGCCTTTGATATGCAACGCTGTATGTGGAAATAAAACAATGAAGGCGTTTGATTGACATTCAAATGAATCAAGTAAAAACAAAGAATGGTGGGTAATGTAAGTCACAGCAAATATAATATCAGAGATGCTTGCCTTATGATTGGTTGAGAGACATGGGTAAAGCTCAAAGAAAACCGACAAGCATTGCTTTAACCTGGCCGACAAGTGAAAAATTAAATCTCAATCAGCTGCCAGTACAGGGCAAGAATAGTACAAACGTGATGTTAAAATTAAGATGAACAGATACCACCTGTGCAAGTGTTCCGACACGTCACTGAAGTACAAGTAAATGAGCTTTGATAAAAGCACAGGATGCAAAGAAGCTGGTATGCTGGGATATTTGTCACTTAGGAGAAGAATTTTCGCAAACCCCTCTCCAAGCACACCATAAACGCACTCGCCTTCATTGCTGGTTAAAGGACTCGCCCAGTCATCATTTTCAAAGCCACCATACAAGATATCAAGGGTCTCAACATCCGGATCTCCTTCTGAATCAGAGAAGTTCACAGGACAAAAAGTCGTCTTCTCACTGTTTATTTCGCATGGAATATTGTGCTTTGACACCTTATCAACTTCTGGAGGACCATGCCACATCACAAGATCAACTAATGCTTTACAAGCCTCTATACTGATTGAATGTGGCCCCTTAATATATGAAATCCTCAGCTGTTTCAAAAGTTCTGCACTTGGTTTTCTCTCCAAAAGTCCAAATAGGCCAAGGCATCTGACGGCAATCCTTTGCACATCCAAGTGAGATTGTTTCGCCTGTCCATTTCATTTCCCACACCAGTAAACAGTCAGCAACCAATGCCCCCAAACAATATGTAACAGTGTGAGCTGATTTGGTGCCCCCAAACAATATGTAACAGTGTGAGCTGATTTGGCTCTCATTGAGCCATTTTATAAATAGCAAAACATAATTCATTAGAAAGTTAAGACCACCCAATAATACATTCATGAAATGTATGTATTATGGTATTGTATGTATAGCTTATGCAATTTCTAAATTTTCTTAGTAGTTCATTGAACTTATATCAACATTTAGTATTATTATCATAGTTCATCTAGTCATAAGGAACTGAAGTAAAGGAATTGCATCAACAAATGAGGCATACAGTAACTATTCAAAATTAGATAGATTCGTTAATTTATTTTGTATTTATGCATCATATGATTATAAATTTTTGCACCATTTTAAATCTTGCGAAAGATTGGTCAAGTTCCTCAAAAATTTACAATGCAAGAATCAATTCCTGTCGTTATAAATTAGCTCAAACATGCATTAGATATTGTTATCAACTTAAACAATTACGGACTTGGCCGTATCGCAACAAATTCAACAAATTTATTAATATTTTAAAGTTAGCCAAAAGCCTGAAAACAATAGAGAGATGTGCAACAATTTTTACCCCAGGAAGTAGTAAAGACTGGAGTAGCTCATCTGGTTCAATAGCCTTGCCCTGAAGAAAGCACAGTGATTTTGCATTTTTCAGCAAAAGGCCAGTAAGAGAAAGGCTGTGCATCCACTGCACATAATTTGCTGTTCTCTCCCTGCAAGGTTGAGCTAGCTCTTCTATGATTGCGAGAACAACTCCTTCAAATTCACCAGGAGCAGCATGGACCTTCCTAGCCAAACTGGCTACAGCTTCAGCCCAATCACTGTCTCCACCAAAACTTAATCCATCTCCAAGGATAACTATATTACCTTCATTGTCATCCTCATACTCAGGAGGCTTGCACATTAGCTCATGCAGAAATGTACTGGCAACCTTTCTATTTGTAGCATCAGAAAAATCAAACATGGCACCAAGTAAAAGCAGCTGCCGGCATGCAAAGCGATGATTTGATCCTGCAGATATTAGATTAGCCCACGTAAGTATTCAATAGTTAAGTGTGCATCAGCACCACCCACACTAACTCATACTTACCAGCTTTGATATGAGCTCTGACTAACTCTATATATTCATCAACAGTGGCAGGAAGAATTTTTTCTAGAAGGTCATTTTTATCCGATGCTTCTGTTGCATATACTTCTGCTTCGGTGCCCGTTGTTGCTGCAGCATCAGAGCCTTTGGCCTATTGAGGCAGAACTCATAATCCTTAGTGGTTTGAAAACAATGAAAGAAGCCCTAATAATTATAAATTAGATACTGAATAGTATAAGACAACACAAGATGAAACAAGTCAGAATTTTGACTCAAGCATTCTGGTTTTATAATTTCTAAATAGCATACTTTAGCTACAAATAACATATGCATTGATATACTTGCAGAACTATTAAGTATAAACAGCTTTATTTACATTAGTGTTGGCAATTTGATCCTTTCTCTTTGGGAAATGAGAAACACTTACCAGAAATTCATGGAAACCAGACCAGGGTACTGACTGAGATATTTTGGATTTAGAAAATATCAGCATATGAGGGTAAACACATAATCCAGAGAAACTATATTTTGAGAAATCTTTTATGCTAACCTATGTTTATTAATACAAATAATTTAAACAATTTTAAAATACATTACCATATGCATTAAACCAATGAAAATGCAAGTATGCAACCTTGTCACCTTACTGATATCTTTATTATAGGATTTGGAATGGATGAGATCTCAATTAGTCTTTAAGATGATCTCTGTGGAAATACAGCATAAAGAGTTAAAGACTAGGTCTCAGAAGTCAGTATAATCCTCCTATTACTATTTCAGATTATGGTCCCAAGATAACAGTGGTATGTTGACATCTGATGTGAGCTTGCTCAACAAACTATGATAAACAAAGTGAGATAAAACATACCTCTACTCCTATTGTGAGTAGTACTTATACAGATAAATAAATAAATAAATGTGAAAATTGGATATATTCGTTTTAACTCACGTGTGCTTCTGACTGTAAATGTTTGCAAACAGTTCTCCAATAAAGAGCTGCCTCTGCTTCCAGTAGCTGAATACTTGGTGGGCAATGCACTGAGTCCCCTACAATTAGAGTATGAGATACAATTATGCTACAAAACAACCAGTCAGGTTTATTCCTAAGTTCTGTCTAGCATTAAAAAAGAATAGGTTAAATTCAGAAACTAAAGGAGGCAATAAAATAGCTGAAGATGTAAAAGTACAAGATGGTGCAGGGACATAGTCAAGCAGCATCGGCCCCCCGTATATTTGACCCACATAAATATTTCTACAAGTTTATTTGCTTTCTGAACTCATGCTTGTGAAATAGTCAGACGTCAAATATACAGAATTTAGTCATGTATTTAGCATCATAAATGTGATATAACAACCTTTTTTTAATTTTTTTTCGTAAGATTTAATCAAGCAACATGTAACAACACTCAGAGGTGAAACAGAAAAAAAAAAAACTTCAAAAGCTTAGCTAACCTTCTGTCGTGTCACCATTTGATGATATATACTGCTGGATACTTGCATCATTCTGTAGCTTTACCAAATCAGCTTTAAGAAGTGCTTCCATGACAGACTCACTCACTGATTCATATGTTTCAACATCAAGATACTTCAAAAGTTCTAAAGGATCACCATTACAACATTTTATAAGCCATTCATCTTTCAATAGTTTAAAACATTCCTTTGAGACAGCAACAGATCGGTCAGCAAGTCCTCTCCGAAGAATTACTGTTCTAAGTTTAATGCTACAAAAACAAGGAAAATGAGAGAAAAAGGTTAGACAAGGGGTACCTAAGTAAATTAAGAGTGGAAAAAATGTTTGCGGAGATTGCAATCATAATAGTAGGTCATCCACCCTTGGTGACAGTAACTATAGAATTCTATAACACTTCATAATCTACAATTTTTTTTATAAATATTAAATAAAAGGACAAAAACAAAGAAGACAAATTATACGAATTATAACTTATTATTGTAACGACAATAGATAAAAAGGTTTCAGAAGAAGAATGTATACAAGGCATGGAAAGCATTGTTGTTTGTACAACTGAAGAAATGATTGAGATCTTCTAACTTGTAGTGTGCATTTTAGAAAGCAACCATAACAACTAATGATAAAAATCAACGTAGTAATATCACATACTCGTGATTAACTATCCATTATCCATGTGTTTACATTTATAAAAATATAGATCATCGGTTGTAAACCCTTTCCACATTAGAAGATTCAAATCCTTGGGGAGGTGGAACCTAGTGGGTACAATGTGGGAGGATGGGGATAGAATTATTATTGTTTTACCATATGGCACATTACCTTAAGCTTTGAAGAGGAAATTTATTGGCTAGAACACAGTATGCTGCTTTGCGTACAGATTCACTTACATCCAAGGTACAATCAATGATAACTTGAGAGGTTGCACTAGAAGGAGGCAAAGATAACACAATCATCTTACGAACGTCCTGCACACTTATTCAAAATTAATAGCGGAAACAGTAGCCTTCGGCATGTATGTGTATCCCTATGAACTATGAAGTGCGCCAATAATAGTAAAATGTTCTGTGCAGATAGTTTCCATTGAAAGACAATACTAAAGATTCGAGACTCGGTGATTAGATTTTTTAAGAAAATCAGATTAAGCATACCACTATTTGATTCTAGTCAAAATCTGAAGATACATCCTTTTTAGTCAAATCTTTAAATTAACAGGACGACAAAATTTAATGTACTTAAATAACCATAAGATGGAGGGGAAGTCTCTGTAATAATCACATGATCATGGTAATATTAGTATATTACAATGCAAATTGCAAACCCATGTAATATGAGAAGTTAACGGCCTACAGAACACGGTGCTTTCATCTCAAACCCTAAGCAAAACTTGTACCTGATATAATGTTATATATTAAAAACCATAAAGACAAAACAGCACAATTGATACAGGTAATTGAGACACTCACCGCATTCTGTTCCAAGGGAAGCATCTCGAGGAAAAAATAAAGAATGTCACTATTCACAGAGTCATTCACAAAGCGCGAAAGCGCTCTAACTGCAAAAGTACGCACCACAGGAATCTTGTCTCGTACCCTCACCATCATGCACTCTATCACCTCATCCCATAGGTCATTGCTCACTTCTGCATCATCTGGCAGCCGCAATATTATCTACAATTCAACCAATTGTCGAAAACTTTCATTCCAAACAATCACTAGACACCACAACTCGAGAAATTAACTGCAGTTTCAATTGTCGCTGTATACTCTAGTCCTCTGTGTAATCGTAAACTGTGAATAATGAATTTGCATTTTATAACAAAAAAACGTTCAAAAAGTTGAAATCAGCTGCGAAGGATGAATACTGCGCAGTTCTGAATTGGATGGAAAATTTGAGTAAACTTTCATTTCAGTCACTAATTTTGTGAAATTTCATGTAACACTGAAAAATATATATTAAGATGAATGAATTTTTGTAACATTTTTGCAAAATCAAAGACTAAAACTAGTTTCGTAAAGTCAGAAAAAAAGTGAAAAACATGTTACTCAGGGACTTAGGTAGAGATTACTCGGACAATTCGGAGAATTCGTACCTCGGAGACGATCTGGCAAGCTCGGAACCTGGCAGTTTTGTTGGCTGCCGCGGCGGCAACCAGGAGGAACCTAAGGAAGTGCTCAAGGAACTCGTCAGAAGCTGCGGCGTCGGCCGAGTTGCGGGCGGCGGCGAAGGCGGAGACGAAGGAGACGACGCGGTCTGCGGAGGCGAGACGCCTCTGGAAGTCGAAGAGAGGAGTTACGGTTTTGGAGAAGGCGGAGAAGAAGTGCGACGGGGAATCGGATTTGGATCGGAGGAGCGATAGTTCCTTGAGCTTTCGGTTGTGCGTGGCGTAAGAGGTTCGAGCCTCGTCGAGAATTGCAGCGATTTTCTGCATCAATCGCTTCACTTGGTCTGCGCTGTTGTCCTCCATGCCTTTCTTCTCTCAAACGGTGACGATGGTGTGGAGTTCGTGAATTCTGAACTCTGAACTGAACTGAATCTCAATCCTCGCGTCGTAGTTTTGAATTTGAGCGGGAATTAGTGCAGTTCAATCTCTTGGGCCTATCATTATGGGCCGTGACATCTAACAGGCCTTATAATCTACTCGTGTACTGCAATTTTTCAATTCTGTCACAAAACTTAAATGAAGTACTATAAATACTATTAACGTTGACTTTTATTATACTTGTTGTGAAATGAAATTCTAACTCTCATAAAATTCATCACATCAGAATTAAAAGTTATATATTTAGTGAGATAAAACTTTAACTTAAATTGAAGAATAACACTAATAGTATATATGATACTGTATTTAAATTTTATTCATATAGCATAAGTGACTTATTTACAATGACAAACTTAAGCTTTTTCCATTTTTCACATGAAAATGTGATGCAGACTTAGGACAAAGTGTTGCCTGTAAGTGATACCAGGTAACATTTTTACATTTGACTTTTATTTGGCGATAGATACCAGGTAACGTTTTCAGTGGAATATGTTCCATGGAGGATATTATACATTGTAGATAGACATAAAATCCAAAGTCTGGCATTGCCAAATTGGCACCAGATGCCCACATATTTTAGGCCACTGAAAACGATAGGCTGTTTCACAAGGTGAAACCCATGTCATGTTTTGCAACATTGTCTCATAATGTGTTGAGGTGACAAATGTGAATCTGAGCGAAAGAATTTTACATTTGATAAATTCACACTCTAATATCTTCGATTTTTCGGTTGGATGTAGAATATAGTTTACTCGTAGTTTATTAATAGATATACTTTAATATTTTAACTCCCGATATGCCCAACAAGACAAGACTGACAAGAACAAAGCCACTGGGTGCTTTCAACAATTTCAACATGATAAGCACAAACCTTTTGTGCAATTTACACTAGGCTTAGTTTCCAAATGAAAAACCAAACTGGGTTCCTTTTCCTCATAGAAAAAAGCCTAGGCAGTTATTAATTTACTATTTTATATGAATATCATATTTATGTCAGTTGTGACAAAGAAATGAGTAAACAAAGAACAATGAATGGCCCTGCTCTGTTCTGCTGTTATGTTCACAGCGTCATTCTCAATGTTACCTAGCTAATAACAACAAAAGAATTGAGATGCAAACCATTATGGTGGTTGAATTTTCATTTTGTCTAGAACATGGGTAAATTTTAAAAAAGGTGGACCCAAGTGTTAGAAATTAGAAAGGCTTGACCATTTGCCATTCAAGAGTATGTATAAAGGTGCATTTCGTGCTATATAATCGAAGCTATTGGACTGTTAGCCAGCCAATCGCTTTCTCTCATTGTTTTTAATGTTAGTTGAGTGCATTACATTAGATTACTGTGTTTGTCTTTCTCATCCTTTCACCATCACTTTCGTCACCATGCCATGGAAATAACAACTATTTTCCTTCTTTTTATATGGTTACGATGATGTAAAGCTGTCGACAAATCACATAAAATTTTGTTCAACCATAATTTGATATCATTTTTACGCGGCAATAATGTTTGCGGGTTTGATGCGGCAAACTGTTATGTTTTGCAAGTGTGTAAAGCTGAAATTCTCCACAGTATAATTGCATTGTCAACTCTACCAGAGAATGCTCAAGTTTAGCTTGAACTTATAAACAACCCTTTTCCTGATATCATGTTGATGTTGATCAATGTAGATAGATAATGTCTTTAAACGTATTAGATAATAGTTCATTGAAGTTATAATCTGTTAAATGTATATTTCAATGGAAGAAACAATTCAGTGGGAGACATTATTTATGTGGGCGGATGCAAGTTTACTGATTGATATGCCATATATAATTTAGTTGATAATTTAAAATAGTATGTGATGTTAGGACTAGACATTGCAAACATATTAAGTAATTTTCACGTATCATATAGATATTGTTACTGTCAAACAGCAATGTGAGATCATTAGCAATGGAATAATTCACATAAAAAAGGAGCAAACAATGAAAAAAACTGTCCTTTGAAGACAACCAAATAACATTTTCGCAAGAGCCAATGTCAACTTAATTTTAGCACGAATTTTATATATTTGATTTGAAGAATATAAATTATTTACTAGTGTCAAAGAACAATGTTCTAAACAAACGTTTAGAGCATTTTATCATTGATTATTTTTGAGTCAGAGATTCCTTTATTTCATATGATTTAAACTGTACCACGTTAGTTTTTGAATTATAGATTTAGTTTATTGTTATAAAATATTTTTTAAAATAATTCATCCCAGACATGGAAGTTGCAAATGTATTACATAAAAAAATCATTTATGAATAAAACCAGTTTTAAATTACAGTAACTGGTAACTACGATTGGATAGTACAGATTGTAAAATGACCCATGCAAAATTCAAATGGTCAATTTTCATGACGTTTGTATGACAACAAAAATAATTCATAAGCATAAACTTAAAAAGAAAATTAAAAGGTCAAATTCCATGCTAAAATAAAAGAATTAGTCGATTGCTTACATTATCTTCACTGACCCGAATCAATAACAACATCTTCGATGACTTTTCTGTGGATCTGAACCACTAGCTAGTCTAGCCTTTTACAGAGAAAAATAGAAAAATATCTGAATGTCAACCATTACAATATTTTCTGTTAAGGATGTTAAACTCCATTGATTTTATAGTATTTTATTGGTTTATACTATTCATTTAGCACTATATTTTTAACAGAAAAAAAAATAACATTCTTAAGATTAAACGATTTATTTAAACTCAGATAAAAAGTTCGTGGATTAATATAAAATTAAAAATCAAAGTAAAATTACAAGCTTAGACTAAAACGCATTAAAAAAATATATATAACATCTTAAGTAGGGATAGAATCAGGTCAAACGCTTTAATGGTTTTCATCTATATATATATTCGAATTTTACAGGGTATTGTGGCTAATACTCAACCCTATATCTAAAACTAAGTTCACAAAGCGAATAAAAGAAAATTGCTGGCACCTACCTTATGAATTTGACCTTGATAGTTTGCGCCCGCAAAAGTGTTTAGTTAATTAATTAAGATTCACTCCCGTGATAATTTTTTTTAATTTGGTTTTTTTGTAAAATGTAATTTTGAAAATAGATAATTTAAAACAATAATTTTTTAATTTAAAAATAGAGTCATTATGTTGAAAGTATAATATTTTTAAATTTTAAAATCAATCTTAAATATTAAAATTAACAAGACTAATTTACTAAAGTGACCTTACATAAATTTTGAAGATTGAGAAACACTACATGACATACTTTGTCATGCGCGTACATTCGGAGAAAAGCATGTGATGCTTTCGCAACTTGGAAGACGACTGATTAGAAAAACTAATATTAAAGAAAGCGAAAAAAGTTGTCTCTTTATGCAACACCCTTTTTTACCATGAGCTAACCTTTTCTGACTTTGCCATTCTTTTATGTACTAGTTTATTTTTCTTGCTTTTATACTTATAATGTTTTGAATTTAAATATACCCTTTGTTTTATTTATTTTTATGAACTCTTAATATTAATACTTTAATTACTTTTAATTTTAAAAAACCAATGTTGAACTTAATAAACTATAGCTGAAACAATAAAGCTAAAGTAAAATTTTCGGGAAAGTACCAAAATTACACTTAAACATCATCTTAGTTACTAAATAAAAAATATTAAATATTGTTTATACATTTAAAATTAATATATATTATGTTTATTGATAAAAAATATAAATATAAAATAAGTATAAAAAGATATACCCAAAAAATATTGTATTCGTCTTTTTCTCTCTCTCCCTCGCCTTCTCTTTAATTATTTATCCTGGGAATTTCTGTTACTATGTCTAGAGATAGAAATAGTGCTCAGTGGTAGGTGACCTTGACCTTTTAATACTAACCAGCAAAGTAATTGATGTTTTTAAAAAAATAATTGATTACTTAAAATAATACAATAAATTGAATTTATTTAATAAAAATAATTTTTAAATTGAAATATAATTTAAAATTATTGAAGCATTGAAATAAAATATTTTCTTAATTATTGAAAATAATAAAATCTTGAATTCTATTAAACACCTGAAATAATAAATAACACGAGTCAGGGATATAAAATTTTGTCAAATATAATAAAGATTATTGTATATCAAGCATCAAGCATTGCATCTTGCAATCATTCCCCACCTACCTTTAGTTTAGTACGCTACATTTTAATGAAATTTTTAAAACAAAGAGAATATTATTTATACAGTATTTTATAGAAAAGAAAAAGTGGCAAATTAATAATACATGAAATACAAGTTTTCAAAACCTAAAGTTAGTTGAGGTATTTTCTTCAATTCTATACACCAAATAGCGATTAATGCTGATTAACAACTTTACCAAAATATACTTAATTTATACAAGTTTTATTAAATTACGTAAACTTTGTTTATTAGATATAATTTACATGTTTTTAATATTATAATATAACATAAAAATGTTTTATTAGTGTTTATATTTATGATTAATTTGTATACTTTATATTGAAGCATTGTATAACGTCGCAAGACTCGCATATAAAAATCTCATATGACGACAGACAGACAGACAACGACATCACATATATACAAATTATTAATTTACAATAAAATCAATGTCTACAATTTTAAGATTTATTTTTTTCATAATATTATTTTTAAAGCAACAAGTTGTGAAATAGACTAAAACAATATAAACTTGGTCTCCCAAACACTCCAAAACTATTTAAAAGTAATATTTTTAAATTAATATTTCAATAAGATACTCTCAAGTTAAAATTTAGACTTTAATTAAACTATATAAATAAAATAATAATTTTAAAAAATATACTTAGGAAATAATTTAATTAATTACCAGTATAAAACTTTTCATACTCACAATATATCAAACTTAAATTATAAATTGTAACACAACAAAGTACGATAAAAGAATCTATATTTATCTTTTCTAAACACATAATAAAAAAGTGAGTTTTCTTTTTATATAATATATAAGAAGATTCTCTTTGTATAACAATACTAAAGTTCTATCAGTGAACTAATATTAGTAAAAAATTAATAAAGTAGCATATATTGAGAATTATAATACAAATACATTACTGATATTTAAAACATTTATAATTAACACATTTTTTAAAACATAAATATATTATATGAGAGATAAGTTTATTTAAAAAGATAGAATCATGGACAATAAAGCTTAGCAAGTATATTCTGTATTAATATTTAATTAGAAAAACTTTATAGTAAACTTAAAAAATAAATAATAAACGGTCAAAGACAAAAGAAGGGAGTGCTCCAACGCCAGTGGGTATCTTTTAGAGCCAAGGCGAGGATTCCGCGTTTTAAATGGAAAGAGGGTGAGAATCTCGAGAAAGAGTGGGTCCCAGTGCAGACCAAAGGCGCTTTCTGCAATAGACACGTGTCGGTAAAAACCCTCGGGTTAAGTGTGAGAGTATCGTCCTTCACCGTACGCTCACGTGGGCCAGAATCCCTCACCTCAAAATCCTCAACGACTCGTTAAACTACGCGACAGTCTGCGCTGCCACTACTGACCCTATTTATGGGTCTATTTTTACAGTCATAGCTTATATTATCAACTAATCCCACTCACCACTTTACCCTGTCTACTTTATATTTTTATAGCACTTTGTGACTTTAATCCTTGTGATTATGGCGTTGTATCACTTATATCAAATCAAATCTCGTCCAGATAGTTTTTTTTATTATTATTCAAACAAGTTTGTGAATTCTTTTTTAAATTATTAATATTGAATTTTAATAACAAAATATTGTATATAAATTTTTATTTACGTTGTTTTGTTACACAAGTTATTAATATTTATTATAATTTTATTTTGATGTGATAAATAAAATTAATAAAAATAATAATTTATGAATGTTAAACTTAAAAATTAAAATAGATAAAATTTTAACAAATTATATTGTTAATTTATTTATTTTTCAAATATTAATTTTTATTAATATAATAATATATAATTAAATAATAAAATCAAATACTTTTACATTGTCAATGCATTCTAATAATAATAATAAAAACAAATTATTTACTTCAATATTATAAACTTTTTTTCTTGTTTCCCATCAATTTTAATTTAGATTTAACTTAAGTTACGCACTTAAATATGATGAATCAATTAGATCTTTGAAGTTAAAGTGTTTATAAACAAGTACTAACCGGATGAGTTTATTATTAATTTTTTTATATTTATAAAGATTTAAATTTAAGAACCTTATTTAAACAATATGAAGTTATTTATCACTCGAATCAACTTTTTTATTTATTATTATAAATTATTTTAAACATCTGAAGCATATAAAATTAGTAAAGTTAATATTTTAAATTTTTAATAAATATATCAAACATTCTACTAGTTTGTCATTAAGTTGTCTCAATTATTATGCCATATTTTGGATTCTTAAACTCGCAATTTGATACATATAATATAAAGAGACTTCTTGTTGAAAATATAATTTAAAATTTTGAATTAGCTTTAATGAATTAATTGGATTTATAAAATTAATTTTACATTTAGATTTATTTTAAAATCAGACAGTGTATTATCGTACTTTTTAATACAAAACTTTTTATTTAAATTTATTGAAACAGAGCTTTAAAAAGATTAATCAATATTTATTTTTTACTTTTTATTGCAATATATGATATTTCCGATAAGAATCAGAAAGAAACTAATTTAACCTGACTCTTTCATGCTAGCTGGGGATCTAGATCCAATTCTTTATTTTTTCTAGTCCTAACAGTACATATTAAAAATATACTTTGATTTTATTTGTTCAAAACCTATATATTCCATTGCATCAGTCTTATTAAACTAAGTATTTTACAAAACTACTACATTTAATTTTAATATTAATATGTGTATTAACAAATTATAATTTATTTTTTTTGCATTATATGGAATTAATATTAAAATAAAAATTTACCAAATAAATTTTGATAAATTTTTTTAAATAAAAATTTTAATTTTAATTATTAATAGCATATTTTTCAGTGTATTAAATAAGACTAACTTAAAGAGATAAAATATTTTTTTTAAAAATAATTTATAAAGTATTAGAATAAATTTAAATAAACATAAATAATCACTTAAAATAGTGTGATTTAAGAAGACGAAATTAGTAAATGGTATATTAGTAATAAGTATTTGTGTTGGTTTTGATAAAATAAAAAAACTGTTGGAATATGATTGATATATATGCATAAATTAATTTAAATAATATGTTTATACTTTATTTTCAGTATAATATGTATTTTGCATTTAAAAGTTTGAAAATGAATATTTTTTAAATTAAGAAACAAATATTAATAATGTACTATTTTAAACACACTATTTATTGTTTTTTTTTTGTAATTTATTAGTTCTTTTTAAAATCTATAATGCTTTTCTTGATAGGTACTAAAAGATATATAATAAATATTTATGTATAATAAGTTTACTAATAAAAAAAAGATATTATAAACTTGAATGCACTAATAACATTGAATACTATAAATTTCAATAAATTATATTATTAATTTAATTTTATATTAAATATTACTTTGTACATGCATTTTAAGAAAATGATTTTTCTATTAATTACTATGACAAAATAAATAAAATTTATTGAAATACTATAATAGAAATACCAAGGTTATTACTGTAATTATGTGAAAATTAATTTAAAATTTTATTTTAACAATTAACTGATAAAAATTATTCTCAATAAATAAGAATATCGATAAGAAATCATTAATTTTTTATATTTATAAAATAAATAAAAAATATTTAAATAACATTTAGTATGAGATAAAAAATATTTTAAAAAATTTTAATACATATTTTAAGATACACATTAATCAACCGGGAAGATGTTTTAATTTGATTTATGTTTCTAAGTTCAAATTTAATAAATACAACACTCTAAAAAATAACCTATTACTGAAAATAGTTTAATTTGACTTAATTAAGATTTAAAAAAAAAAAGATACACATAATTTTGATAAATAAAATATATATTAAAAAATTAAAAATAATTTATGAAATTTGTTGACTTAAAAAAAATGCACCCATAAATTAGTTATAAGAATATTGATTAAGAAATATTAAAAAAACATAAAAATACATAAGCTCTTATTATTTTTAATACATTCAAATATATATTTGTATTAATATTTTAATTAATACACAAAATAATATATTTTTTAAATTGAATTAATGACATAAAATATATGAAAAAATATGTATAAAAAAAGTTCATTACTAATATTTCGCAAACAAATAAGAAAGTTAAAAAAAATCCAGCACTACGATTAAAATAACAAAAACTATAAAACTGAAACCGGTGCATCAGATGTCCGGTGAACGATTACTCATGGGTCCACTGGTTTAGATTCTTCTTTTCCAAAACAACTCCAAATCCAAATACATTGCTGAAACTGAACTACCAAATGCCCTTTACTAATCATCCCACCTTTTTATTTTATTTTATAATTTATGATAATCATTATTACTCTTTAAGAATTTCACTTAATGTTATTGTTACTCTTATTGAAATAATAATAATAAAAAAAACAAAGCATTGAATACTTCCCAAATTTTATTATACTGTAAAAACAGTGGTTTACTATTGTTTATATAATCTTTCGTTTCCTAATACTTGGATTAACCTTATCAAAATTACAACTTTTTAAATTATTAAGAGAGTCTTTATAGTTTATAATTAGTTTCTGGAAAATGAAGGGTAAAACAAAAAAGCACAATTTTTTTTTATGATATTGAGTAAAAATCGCTTGATTTAAAGTCAAAGGAAGGAGTAGGAGAAGGCACTATAAAACGGCACAGAGGCTTGGTTATGGTTACGTCTCAGTATTGAATCTGTCGATTCAAAGAAGGGAAGAGAGAGGTTATCGTTGTTGTGAAGGGTCTTTCTTGCTTCAAGGTTTCATTTTGGAGATGTCGCTGCTTTCAGATCTCATCAACCTTAACCTCTCCGAAACCACCGAGAAGGTGATCGCAGAGTACATATGGTTAGTACCTCTCTCTCACACACACCCCTTTTTCTTGGTTTGGTTGTTCCGTACGTTTAACTAAACATAGCTCTATTGGTGATTCTCGTGTTTTGGTGTATGCATGATTTTACGTGTGTGGGAACGTTTTTCCGGAATGGAATGGTTCTCATCATGGGTGTGATATTTTTATCCATATCTTATTTGATCCGTTACTTTTGCTTTACACTGAATTCACACTATGTCATTTATTTGGATATCACAAGAATAATTTTTTTTTTCCAGCTCTGATTTCCCCTGTTTTTTTTCCTTTTGTTTATGTGGTGTTGTTTCTGTTCCAAAATTTCACCTCTACTTTTCTCCCTTTTTTTCATAGTTTCAATATTTGTGAGTGTGTAGTTCCACTTTTGGGGGTGAATATTGTTTCCTCTGGTTTGACTCTGTCTTTTGGTGATTTTGCTTGGTTTTAGTATTTGAGCACTCCGAAGATGATTTTGCTTGTTTGTATGGAATTAAATGGGAAAAAGGAAATGCCTTTTCCCTTCCTTGTTTGTTTGTTTCTCCGAAGTTGTTTGCTTTTTATACAATACAACTCAAAATAATCGCTATAGTCTTTCCAAATGACAACAAATTCATTTCTTGTACCTATTTTTTTTTTAGAATTTAATTGTAATATTTTTTACATCATTTCCTAATCCTGAAGTGTCATAGTATTAATTTAATGGTTGATAATATGAAAATTTTTACACTTACATTGTATTAATTTTTTTAAAATTATAATTTTCTCTTTTGGTAACTCTTAACATGATTTTATTTTAAATATTGTAGGATCGGTGGATCAGGTATGGACATGAGGAGCAAAGCAAGGGTAATTCACTTCTTATATCAAACTAAAAGTACAGTGCATGGTTTTTTTTCCCCATTTAACTAATACTAAAGTAAAATGGTTTGGGATATAGACTCTCCCAGGACCAGTCAGTGACCCTTCAAAGCTGCCCAAGTGGAATTATGATGGATCTAGCACAGGTCAAGCTCCAGGAGAAGATAGTGAAGTGATTTTATAGTATGGTTTTAATTTTCAATCCCATTTAATCAATTTTTTTCTTAACTAAAATTTGTTTTCCATCTTATTGGACATTCCATTCTTTACTTATTTTTGTTCACTCAATACAGTCCACAAGCCATTTTCAGGGATCCATTCAGAAGGGGTAACAATATCTTGGTGAGTTTTTTTTTTTTTTTTTTGTCTTTACAACTTGGTTTTCCCAAATGTATGTAGTTGACCTTGTATCCGTGGTGTAATCTTCTTTTGTTTTTCAACTTGAATTAACTCTAGGTTATGTGTGATGCTTACACTCCTGCTGGAGAACCAATTCCCACTAACAAGAGACATGCTGCTGCCAAAGTATTCAGCCATCCTGATGTTGTTGCTGAAGAGCCTTGGTATCTATTGTTGCTTCATTGCTCATTGAAATAAACAACCTTTTGCCATTAGTTTCTTTTTCCCTGACTAACTCTTGTTGCATGATTTTTTGTTAGGTATGGTATTGAGCAGGAATACACCTTGTTGCAGAAAGATGTCCAGTGGCCTCTTGGGTGGCCTGTCGGTGGTTTTCCTGGACCTCAGGTAAACGGTTTTTCTAATGTGTGTCCAAGGATACACAGTTAACATTTATGTGTAGTAAATTTTATTGAAAATCAAATGATGTCACATAAATTAATCCATTAATAATATTAAATACTACAATTGTCAACAAAACATTTATTAATTTCTTGTTTAAAAAAATCAGTAAAAACTCACTTTCATTATAGTTTATTTTTTATATTTTTGGGCTCCTTACTTTACATATATAAATTCAAATTGTCCAACCATTATAAAAGCATTGTTTTGGCCTCCTCATGCAACGATGAGGTGTGTTTTTCCCATATGGGGTCCCGAATTGTCAATTCATGCAAGATGAATAACCCAATTAAACTTGTCTTTTCTTGGGAGTTACATTGTTTTCTTTTGTTATAGCCTATTATTACATGTGTTCTAATGGGAACATCGTTGTTTTATTTGTTCAACAGGGCCCATACTACTGTGGTGTTGGTGCTGATAAGGCTTTTGGCCGTGATATTGTTGACGCACATTACAAGGCTTGCCTGTATTCTGGCATCAATATCAGTGGAATTAATGGAGAAGTGATGCCCGGTCAGGTAAATAGGAACAATTTATGCACTTATTTTTGTACCATCATTTGTTTACCTTAATATTCAATTTTTTAATACAAACTAGTTTTTGATTAAGTCTAACACCTCATTTTAATTATATCTAATTTTATTACTTTTGATGGAATTCAAATGTAGTGGGAATTCCAAGTTGGTCCTGCTGTTGGTATCTCAGCTGGTGATGAGGTGTGGGTTGCTCGTTACATCTTGGAGGTAGGTAGCACATGACTATTGTTTGTGTCACCATCATGTCGTCAATTTTTCATCTTTTTGATTGAAACACCAACCATCCTACTCTTTCTGCACCTAACCAAACCTTTGTTTTCTATGTTGACAGAGGATCACTGAAATTGCTGGTGCGGTGCTTTCCTTTGACCCCAAGCCAATTAAGGTTAAAATTTTCTCTTTTGGGATCAAGTTATTTTCCCTTCACATTTGATCAATTGATCCAACCCCATGAAAAAAAATTAGGACTTTTATTTATTCATTTATTTTTGTTGAAATGGTTTTGACTATTCTCATTTGGGTTATTCCAAAACCAGGGTGATTGGAATGGTGCTGGTGCTCACACAAACTACAGGTAATCTTTGTTACTTAAATGAAAGAACTGAGGGCGTATCTGGCTAAACAATTTAATTAAACACTCATTTAGAGGATTTATAATATAAATTTGATCATAAAATTTATTAGAATAAAAAAAAAAACTTATTTTGATGAATTTTGCTTATTTAATCAGCTTATTTTGATAGGGTATTGGAATAAAGTTTACTCATCATTCAACAATTTTTTTAACTAAACAAAATTATAAAAAGTATAAATTATTTTCATAAGTTCTTGTAAACGTGTCCTGAATTAAAATAAAATTTCCTTGCTTTCATTAGTGTGCTAAACAAGTGCATAATAATGCTAATAATAATGTTGCAGCACCAAGAGCATGAGAAATGATGGTGGCTATGAAGTGATAAAGAAAGCTATTGAGAAGTTGGGGAAGAGGCACAAGGAGCACATTTCTGCTTATGGAGAGGGCAACGAGCGTCGTTTGACAGGACGACACGAAACAGCTGACATCAACACCTTCTTATGGGTAAGCAACAAAAACAAATGAAAATACAATGTTCTATGTGGGCACCATACAAAACATTTTCGATATCATTGTATAGACCAAGTTTTATTTGATGTTTGTGTTTTTTGACTATGCAGGGAGTTGCAAACCGTGGTGCTTCTATTAGAGTTGGAAGGGACACAGAGAAAGCAGGGAAGGGATATTTTGAGGACAGAAGGCCTGCTTCTAACATGGACCCATATGTGGTTACTTCCATGATTGCAGAAACAACCATTCTCTGGAAGCCTTGAACAACCACCATATGGATCATCATTGTTGTTTCCCTTTTCCCTTAGGATGTGTTTTTCTTAGTAGGATTTGGTCTTTTTTGTTTCTAGGATTTGGCTGTGTTATTTTTATTGCTGGCACTATGCTTGAAGCCTTGTTTGTTGGTGCCAATTACCAAGGCTTTGTTCATTGCTTCCATTTCTTTTCCTCGTTTTCTGATTCCGTGATACAATAATAATGTAATGCTTATCAGTTAAAATAACATGCCGATTGTCATGTTTATTTTAATAATATCATTTATGGAATTGCCATGTAAATGAATTATGGAAATGTTTCTGTTGGTGTACTTGTGGTATAAATAATAACTTCAGTAGATTCGTGAACCGAAATTGGCAGACTAGTGTATAAAATTTCCTTTACTATATTCGTTATAACCTAAATTTGATTGGTTTAGATTAAGTTGAGTATACGTTTTAATTCTATTTAATAATTTAAAATACTTTTATTAAATTTTAAAATAAATGCGTTTGCAATTTATTTTTAATACTTTTTTTACACTCTAAATACTTTTATTATTTCTTATGAAAAATATATTTTTAATTCTTTGATCAATATTAAAAGCTAACTTTCTATCTAAATCCCCTTATCGTTTCTGAAAGTGCCGACCATGACACAAAGCAAAGTAACAGCTAGGCCTTTAGGGATGGGCTTTGCATATAATAATTAATGAAAATTTAACGAATAATTATAATATTTTGAAATTTACAAGTTTGTTTCAGTCCAATAATTTTATTTTATTTTATAAAAATGTTAAAGGACAAGCTTTCGTATTTTAATTTATTAAATAATTCAAAAAGTAAATCTCTATTACTTTAAAATGAAAGACTAGTAAAACCAAATTACATTTGTACTTATATTAAATTAAATCATTTCACAAATTTAATTTACTTTAAATTAATACAAATATAATTTATTTTAAATCATTTTTTAATTTAAAGTAATTAAATATAAGTTAATAACTTAAAGTTAAGGTTATTTTAGTAACACTCACTCCCTTTGAATTTAGGTTTCAAACAATGAAAGAGTTTTGTCACAAAATCATAATTTCATTAAAATAATTCAAAGGGTTTTGTTAAATTATAGAATAGCAAAAAGCGCTACAAAATTTATATTAACTTATAATTTTATAAAAATAACATATATTATTAATTTTATTTAGTCACACCAACACAAAAATATTTCACCCCAAAATAAGAAGACGGCGAAGCATAAACATTCTGAACTCTGCAGCAGCTACCCTTCTCGATCATCGCCGGAAGAGATGCTTCTGCGTGTGGCAGCATCAAATTTGCTCAAAAAACTTCGTTTTTCTGCTTCGTATGCCTTCCCTGCCACCACAAATGCATTGCCCATCTCATTTTCCGGTAAGCAAAACCATCCCAATATCACTCTTTTTGCAATTTTGATGACACCCCTTACATTTTCATCTTACTAGTGTCTTGTGTATTCAACGTTTGTGATAATTGAGGTCTGCATAACTTTTGTATCTTAATTTAAATGATGGGTTGTGTATACATGAGTGGTATATTTCTTTCAAGAAAATGGTAGTGAAGGTTGCACTCTTATAGTGCTAACTGTAGTTTGAGGTACTGCTAATTGAGTAAATTTGTAGCAAATAAAATCAGGAACTTTGGTGTGTTGCATCTCTGATAGTTTATACATTCTAACTTTATACCCATTTTCTAATTTTAAGGAAATGAAGTTTCCTTTTGACGTTGTAGTTTTACATAATTGAAGGTTCTGTACCTTCATTAGTGACTTTTCTGCTTGGATAGATTCATTTGTTTATTATTTGCGCAAAAACATTTTTTTTTTGTTTTATTGTCCTGTAATGAAGATGATGTTCATATATTCTTGTATTTATGTTGTTTCAGGTAAACTTTCTCATTGGTATCAAACTGGTGAATATGGTTGGAGGATAAATTTTAAGGATCCTTCTTGTCTATGGATTGTTATATCCGGACATGTAGGTATGCTTTAGTAACTAACAGATTGAACTGTTGCATTGTCATTTTCAAATTTTAATGATGCTATCTCTGTGATTCTGTGTTAACTATTCTGCATCGTGTTCCTATTTTTTGCTGCAATAAAAAGTCAAATTTATAATTTTTTATGGAGAGAGCTCTTTCAATTGATAGGTGGATAGTGAAGTTAAATCTTTTTGTTTTTAAATGAAGATCAAGGGGAAAGCTTCTTAGCTTTTTAAATGTTAATTTTGGCTCTCGTTTTTCTTTGTCTGTCAAATTTCATGCTCTGTAAGCTTATAGAAGTAGAACAATGCTCCAGGAGTCTGAATCCCTTTCTTTCCTATATTGTCAAGAAAACTGGTTCACCCAATAGCTTGGGTTTCTAGATGCAGGTCCAAAGATAGGTTTCATTTCTAAGATGCTTTTCATGTGAAAGACTTCTAGCTTGAAACTTGGATGAAGTAGCTGTCCTTCCATATATTTAAATTTAATTTAATTAAGATCGTGAGGACTGCAAGTATTGAAAAATCCTGACAATTTAGCAAAAGAGGGTTTGGTACTCTGTAAAGGAAACAGTCAATCCAAAAAAAATTGAACATGTTAATGTATGGAAATTGGTTTTTGAGTGCGTTTAGTGTTTGGGTAAATAACTTGATGAAGCACTTATTTAAAAAGAGTTTATCATACAAACTTATTTTGATTATTTGATAAGCTTCACCATGAGGCTTATTGAAAAGCTAAAAGTAGTTTATATGAGATCACAAGTTCAACTTTTAAAACTCCTGCTTAAGTGTTTCTGATGAGATAAGATGAGATAAAAAATGTTCAGTAAAAGCTCTTCCAAATGCCCCCTTTATCTATTATATTTTATCATTATCTATTGTGTCATGAAAGATAGCTGTTGTAGTTGGAGAGCCTAAGGCCTTATTAATTCCATTGTTGAATTTCATACTCCTAATGTGGGCTCTAGTCTCATACTTTACAATAGTATCCTAACAAAAACTTCATTCCATGAAAAACTAATTAATAGTGTACTACTCATTATCAATATTGACAGTTGATTAAACAATTTTCTCATATAGTTTAAATTGACTACTATTATTTTTGTGCAGCAATTACTTTGGGAATTGGTGCCAGCACTGTGTTTGCAGAAGATGCAACACCAAGAGCATCTTCTGACGATGGCCTGGGGGATGACTCAATTGGATTAAGAAAAATTGAAGATGGTTCTGTAGTGTCAAACATACATACAGCAAAATGGAGAGTTTTTACAGATAAAGCAAGAGATCTTTTCCTACAGGTATGCTGTTTCTTCCTGTTGCTTTGTTAAGTTCTACTCAATTTTATTGTATACCTTACCTAGTGGTAGAAAGCTGTTGTTGCTGCTACTTGCTATTGTTGTTGACTACTTATTATTTGTCCATTTTTTGCCAGGGAAAACTAGATGAAGCTGAAAAACTCTTCCTCTCTGCTGTACAAGAAGCTAAAGAAGGTTTTGGCCAGCAAGATCCGCATGTTGCTTCTGCGTGCAACAATCTGGTCATTTTACCTGCACTTGATAATTGTTTCTTTCTTGTGAACCATGAAGTTTTTTTTTCCTCTGGAGACTATTATTTTTCTATTTTATTTTTGATAAAGAAGGTTTGTAGGAGAGAAAAAGGGAAAAATACATCCAGGGGAGGACAAGGGTTCCTCCTACATAAAAAAACTAAGAACAGAGATCGAGAGATTATTTATGAATGCAGAAAAGCTTTTAAAGTTCTGTGAGTATCAGACAGGATATTCTCCATCAAAGCAATGATCAGTTCACCTCATAAAGGCTGTAAACACAATCTTCTGATTCTTGGAAAAAATTGTTGAGTTGGTGCCTTTGGTTGCTTGTTAAAAATGCATTTTTAATCTTATAGTTCTTTGATGCCTACTCAGAATTTCTTATCCTCTATAGGTTAGGAAATTTGATAATGTATTTTCATATATCTTTTCCCTGAGATATGTTGAATTTTTTCTAAATTATTTGGATTTCTGGTAAGAAATATTGGTACACTCATCATAATTGTGAAGTACTTGGCAAGATAGCATATGATATTGACATTTGGTGCACAACATACGATGGTCAAATCTTACAGAATTTGGTGATATTGATGGTAGAAATGTAATGAACACTTTCAGCTTGCAATTGTAGCTGTCATGTTTTTTTCTTTAGTTTCCAATTGTTTGATTATTCATGAGCATGATTCTTTGTTGTTTATGCTAGTTAATTAAGTACAAACTGTTAATACACAATTCAGATTTTGAGTATTGCCATTGCAGGCTGAGCTGTACAGGGTCAAAAAGGCATTTGACAAAGCAGAACCATTGTATTTGGAAGCTATCAACATATTAGAGGAATCTTTTGGTCCTGATGATATTCGGTAGGGTGTAATTTCTGTGCAACCATCATATATATATATATAACACAATGAATTCCATAGGGATTGCTGATTTCCATTTGATCTATGATCATGCAGGGTTGGCGTTGCTGCTCACAACCTTGGCCAGTTCTACCTTGGACAGCGGAAGTTGGAAGAAGCTCGTGTTAGCTATGAGGTAATTTGTGGAATTCAACCGTCCTGGTCTTGGTGACATGTGCTAATTTCTTTTTCCCATCTATTGCACAGAGGATAACTTTATTCAACAATTCTAATTAATCCCGATCAACCTTACCTGATTCTCATGTAACACTCTATTTCAGTTATATCAATTAAATCCTGAAAATTACCCCATTTTCAGGGACACTTTATATGGTGCCACAGGGCATTACTTTCTTGAGGAAAACACCATTGCTATTACCAACCCAACAAGACCCAATTGAAAGATCTAAGCTTCTCTGTTTCTTAGTTCTAGAACAAACTGCACAAGTGAACATGTGGTCTTTTCTCTCATCTCCTACTTGTGGCTAACGAAAAATCTCTTAATGAAGACAAAAGTTAGACAAAACCCTTAATAAGTTCTATAAGAAAATCCCCTGAATAATAAGGGTTAAATAACCACTTAAAGAAATGAAAGTACTCTTCCAATTATCTAGACATTTGGAAATCTTAGCCACAAGAATCCAATGCTACCTAGTCTACAGACAGTGATTGTTATTTATATGCGCATTACCAAAAATTTTCAAATTTTCCTTGCAGATACCTTATGATCATTAACTTATGTTTTGCATTATTATGTTAATGGATCCAAATTTCATCATTTTGGGATATTGCAAGTTGGTATTTATGTGTTGCATATTTTTGGTTATTCCCCCTTGCCTTTCTTTATTTTTGTGATTGACATGGTTTTATATTGTTGTAAATCCTGATCCTTTGTGTTCTTTCACTACTACTTAACCACCTTTTATTTATTTTTTTAACAGCGCGCTTTGAAGGTATGGACCTTTTATGCTCCAGGAGAGACTTATTTTCCTCTGTATATTCTTGTCAATTTGTATTTCATTCTTATTTCTTAACATATTTCTATGTTTGATGATTGAGGCTGTATGTTGTCTCAATTTTAGTATGTGATGTGACTCTTTATTCAGATAAAAAGGCGTGTTCTGGGATATGGCCACTCAGAATGTTCAGATACAATGTATCATCTAGGAGTGGTAATTATTTGTGCTTTTACTCTACTATTCTTCATTCTTGTTTGTTAAAAGTAGTCTAATACTGTGTTTGGAGACAAGAAATCTAAATTTTGGGAAGGTGATCTTGGGGTTGAAAACAAAGGTAGTATTTGATTTATTTTCTCTTTTATTTTCAGTTGATTTCCTTCTTTTTAATAATTTTCAAAGGAAATAGGGAGCACAAAATCTTGTTTTCACCATTTCCTTGGTGATGTCTTGGAAATAGGAAACAACATGAAAACATGGTGGCATTTAAATATTCCCCATCTGATTGAAAAATCAAATGAGTTGAAAATAGAAACAGTTTTTGATAGATGGAGTATGATGCATGAGAGTCACTCACCACTGTTTTAGGCAAGCTACTGCAACATTTCCTAAAAAATGAGTGAAAACGTGGATTGTAGACAAAGTTTATTTATTTTAGAATGCAGGGTAGAGGTGAAATACAGGTTTGTCATAGATATTCGTAGTTCCTCCTCTTTCATATAGCTATAGGGGAAAACTTTTGCATTAAGCTTGATATACATATAATTTATCACTTCTTCATATGTTAATATCTACATGAATATGTTAACAGTATTTCTATCATCTGATTTCTACTTTGTGTTCTTTAAATAAACTTTAACAAAAACAAAAAAAATTGTGAATTAAGGTAATGCCTGAAGAAACACTGAAATAACTAAGTTTCCTTTACATAATATTTGTTCAGCTTGTGTCATGAAGCTATGCTCCATAATAACTTGATAGTGATTAGAAAACGTTCAAGATTTAAGAGGATTACCAATTCTTTGAGATAGAACATTTTTTTGCTTCCTTTAGGCCTTGTGTTCATGGCTTTTCCTATGGGATTTGGTCAGAATGTAAATGCTTCGTGAGTGACTTATTTCTCTTTGGTGCTTCCTGGAATTTCAGCTCAACTGGGATCTTAATTTGAAATATTTGTGTTCAGGTGCTGTACCTTCAAGGAAAAGAAAGGGATGCTGAAGCCCTTATTAAGGACTCCATAAGGATGCTAGAGGTCTGTGAGACATCTTTTTTCTAACTCAAATTCCCTCATCAGTGGGAATTAGTAATTTTGAATTTTTTTTTTGTGCGTGATTATTTAAGCTAATTTGTTTACCTATGTAGGAAGGTGGTGAAGGAGAGTCATTTGCATGCATTAGAAGACTACGATACCTTTCACAGGTTGTCTTTTTGGCCTTTCTTCCTCTTGAAACTTCTTTGATAAATAGTTTGTGCTAGAAAAAGGGATATATATTTATATTAAATTGGTGGCTAGGATGAAATTACTTTAATACTTATCTTGAGTCTCTATTAACTGCCAAGGAAGCAGAACCACATAGTGCACATGATGTGAACAGAAACTTAGGTCATATAGACGGAAAAGGGCACCCAAAACCTAAGTTACGTCATACCATCCAAGTAGATTTGAGAGGTAAAATAGTTGTACATTTGATTGTTCAGACACAAAACTAGACATAATGTAAATAAATACCATTCTTGGTTCTCCACCTAACTACTGAAACATTATGAATAGTTGTTCTTGGCATTGTATTGGAGGATTCTTCATAATTTAATTAAATTCCAGCATGAGCTAAAATGAATTAGTGCGTTGTCCACCGCTCAATGTGGGTCTGTTCCAACTTTTCTGTTTATTAATTTTTCATCCTAACTTTCGTAATGATATCAAGTCATTGCTATATTCTTTAGATATATATGAATTCACATCGACTTGCTGAAGCTGAGATGGTCCAGAGAAAGATCCTGCATATTATGGAATTGTCAAAGGTTCTTTTTGTGAACTTTTTCCTTTTCTTTTTAATTGACTTTCTTTGTTAATGATGATTCATGCATATTTTATAAATCTTTATAAATACTAGGTAAGTGGATTTTATTATTTTTAAAAAAACTGGTGAAGTGAAAGAAACTTCTGCTTAATGTATCCTCACTTGTCAAATAAATTTTCTCTTAGTGATGATTGTGTCTAATTTTCGACTTTTTCTGTCACTGTTAGTGAGGTGCCATTGTTTTCCCTTTGGGATATAGGGATGGCAGTTGATTCTTTTTCCTGTTCCTTATTGTAGCTGCATTTTGCAGGACAACAGATAGGGTGGTTGAGCACTGTTTTTTCTGTTCTTAAGTTTAACCGTGATAGCATGCTGTTTCTATTCTTGCCAAATAACTATTAAAATTTTAAGTTATTCTTACATATTTTTCCATTGTTTTTACTATTAGCATTTTTAATTTGTTTGATCAAATAAGGTATAGTGATAATAGAAAAATGGTCTAATTTAAATAATTTAGGAGTTGGGTTTCTTACGAAACAATCATGATTTCATTGAACTATTAAAATTACCTGCCTACCATGCAAAGTACTATGACTGATACTATTGACATATGAGTACTTTTTGATATCCCTTGGCAGGCAATTTGTAATCTTCTTTTTCCATTTGCAACTTTCTGTTTTCATTTAGTTGTGTTTATCTTACACAATGGAATTAGAAAATGTTGCAAGAACAATTATGTAATAAATTCTGTTGTCACCATCTAAAACATAATGTGTTTTGTGTTATACAGGGATGGAATTCCTTGGACACAGTTATTGCAGCGGAATCTTTGGCTCTGACCCTGCAAGCATCTTTCAATACAAAAGATTCAAAAGAGCTTCTTGAAAGGTTATTAAAATACTTCAATATATTAAAACCTAGGACATAATTTTGATTTTATGCAAATGCAATCCTCATTTTTTTACTTGCAGATGCCTTAATGCCCGGAAAACCATACTTCCTGGTGACCATATTCAGGTTTGCTGACTTCTTCTTCTTTGATGGAATTTCAGTAGTTCCCTTTGTATTTTGATTTCGAACCCCATTAAAATTGATTGCCAAACTGATTTTTTCTTACACAAAGATGCCGTTCTTATTGCATCTATGCATGCGATGAATATGCTGCAATGCTTGATTTATCCGAAGTAAAAATAAAATCACGAGCTCTTCTTTCTTTATCTATGGTCAGATTGGTGCAAACCTACTTCATCTAGCAAGAGTGCTGATGCTTGATTGCAGTCAACATAAAAAGTGGGATGTTTCTAGAGCTAAAGCTGAGCTTGATATGGCAAAGGATCACTTGCATAATTCCACAAGGTTCCTATTAGTTTGACCTGCCTATCTCTTTCTCAACTGCTTTTGAATATCAAAACTCAAATCAAATCATCATATGTTTGTTTCTTTTCCCAATGGCAATCCTCATTTTACAAAGCAATTTTTTTCAGTTTTTGTGTCCATGCCTAGTGGACAGGTGGAATTTGATGTCATACCTGCAAATTAAGTTGTAACACATGGAAAGAGAATAACTTTTTTGTGCCCATTTTTTCTTGAACATGCTCTTCTAGCATGTCAAAATTCCTTTGATTCCTCCCTCCTCCAGGCTCAAATCCCACAACTTTGTTGTCATTTTAAAAAATGGAAATGGGGTATAAGTTGCCCTTCTTTTGTGTGCATTCTTGCATATTTGTGATAGGATTTTCTTGTTCTATCTCAGGATTGCACGTCAATGTTTAGAGAAGGTATTGAAACAAAAGGACAAGTCAAAAAAATACAGAGATTCTAGAAAGGAAGTTCAAGCAGCATTGACCATATTGGTTGGCTTTTTCCCCCTCAATTATTAATCTCCTATAAAAAATGGGATTGTGATTGTACTTTTCTATGAATAAAAATTATTTATTAATTAAAATAGAAATGTAAATCTTGTAGTTGCAATCACTCAATACTTTGTCATCAGTGGAGCAAGCAAAGCAAGAATTGCAGGAAACTCAGGTTAGACTTAGATTATAAACCTTGATGGTAGTGCAAATAGGTTCAAGGTCCAATGGAATGAGAAAAATTGCAAAATTCATATTTCTACTTGGTGTAAGTATTGGTATTCTTTTGCAAAGCAGGAACAGAATATTAACCTTGAGGCTCAGAAGGCACTTCTTCAATGCATTTCTGCTTACAAGGAGGTAAACATTATCTATTTACATGCTAATTTTTCTTGGGAGCTTTGCATGCTCTTACTACTGAATTTTTCTAACATTATTTCAAATCGAGTTTAATTTATTTACCCTTTGGAGGAAAGCATTCATATGTGCTTCATCAAGATTTATTTATTTATTTAAGCCTGAACAGAAGTTATAGTGAGTACCATAATTTGAGACCATTGAAGTCATCATCGAAATGTATAGAAAATTTGTTGCTTTATATGGATTACATGTAGCATGTCAACATCATCTCCAGTAAGAGCGTGAACATCTTCCATGCATGTCTTTGACATGGGATTTAAAAACTTTATAACATCTTTACTCTTCCTTTGCAGTTTGTAAATGAGAGGTCAATTGTTGATGCACCTGAAATAAAGAACGAGTATCGTTCATGTTTAAAGCGTGCACAAAATTTTCTTGGTAATAAAGTTGATGAAGAGTCAAGCAATCAAAAGGATTTCCGAAAGCTGAATCAAACAAAAGCATGATGAGATTTTCTTTTTCTTTTTAATTTTCTGGGGAGAAGTGTTTCTCATCTTATTCAAGAAATAATGTTTTTCCATGCTTGGAAAAATTGTAATGTCAAAATTTTTCGTGATTGAGCCATCATAATTTTTTACTGTAAACCATTTTCTCTTGTTCATTTGTTTCCTTACGAAAGGTGGAAGGAAGAACGGGTTTACTAAAATGTGAAAGATGCAGTTATAGCGTTGATTAGAAAATGAACCGTAAAGATTTTAATGTCATTATTTATCATCCATTGTGTATGTAATTTATCATAGTATGAACTGTGAAATGTTTAGTTAATGATCATAACTACTTTTTCAGACAAAATATATTCCTCACTTTAGAGAAATTAAATCCAAATATAAATATGCTTTTGTTGTCACCAATGTTGCGTGTATGATTAATACAGTGCGAAGGATGCAATTTAAGAGCGCTCTACAATTGCCAAAAGAAAGATTATGATATTGTGAACTTCTAATAAACCACTATACTGATGTGGGGCATTTGAAAACAACACAGCTAAAGTGGTTCATGACCCAAAAGCCTTTTAGTAGTGTCGGCAATTGCAAATAATCCTCTCTTGGTATAGACAAATCAGAAAATTACATTGCTTAGAACAAACCTGATCTCACAAGAGCCAAACTACCACAAGGCTTCCAGCTTTGTGGGTCCCACTACCCATTCTTTTCACTAAATGATGTTGTTACATTCTGACATCATGGTGAGTGCTACAAAAAAGTTGCACACTTGCCATGCTTGGCACGTGAAGTTCTCAACCATAACATAGCAAAGAAACCCACTTTAATATTGCATTGCATGGTCGAACATAAATTTTCCCCCACATTCAAAGTTATCAAAAAAGAAGTGATCTCATGTCCCTCAAACTCTTCTCTTTGAAATCTCTTGTTGAGAGAGGAAAGACTCAAGAAAGCACAGATGAATTAGCTATTGTGAAAGCAGCTGCATGGGCATGGTACCAACATGGTTCAGGCTATGAAGGAAAGGGTAAGAGTGAGGTTGACGTTACAAGAACTCAACGTGTATCTAGGCCTTCTCGTTACAAGTTAGAAGCTATGAGAATGGCTAAGGAAGGACCCTCAATTCAATCCAATAAATCTCTTCTTGACACCTATGAAGTTCAAAGCATTTCAAGGCAAATGGATAGGCTTATAGAGTCTGGCCACAACATTTCAACCAACAAGAATGCTGGTGTGGATAATGGTAATAGAAGAATGAAGAATAAGAAGAGGATAAGTAAAGGGTTTTGGTCAACACATGCTTTTGTATGTGGCAGAGGGAATGATGAGGTGGATGGCACTGCTTTGTTAGCCAAACGTGTACCTGTAGTTAATCTGGTAAAGTGTTTGCCAAGGAATAATAGAGCTTTGTGTTCATGATCATTATCTGTTTTGTTTTCCAACACTTGGTTCTAGTTTGGTGATCGGCATGTATCTCAATTGCATGTATGTACTCAATGTCCTCATAGGATAATTTTGTTAATAAAAACATAAGAAATTTGAGCTAAGCATATCTATCATCATAGGAGTATGCTTGAAATTGTATGAACTGGGCATTTCAGTCCCTATAATTTTAAAAATCATTTCATTAGTCACTAACTTTGCAAAACGATATTCACTTTAGTCTTTTGCAGTACAAATGATGGGAAAAAATTAGGTAAAACAGATCTAAAATTAATGATTTTTTTAATAAAGTTGTTTCATACAATCTTAAACAGTGTTTTTGTGTAACATCTGGGAAATGAAAACGTTCCTGCAAGAAAAGAAAAAGCTTTAATTTCCAGGACAAAGGAGAAGGGGTTATTAAATGAGTTTTGTTGAGTGTTAGCTTGTCAAAGGGCCTTTTTGGACCCAGTCATGTGATATCGGAGACTGCTAACCTAACATCCCATGTAGATGTAGGGCACATAAATGTAAGATATTTGCTAGTCTTTACTTCACTGAGCTGAAAGTATATAGATTCAACGCGAATTAGATGTTTCCTTCTCTCAGAGTAAAAGAGTTGTACCATAACAATTGTTCTGAAATAAATCGACCTCTATAAAATTTGTGAAAAATGCTTTGAAGTTCACAACTGTGAGGGTACTCATTTCAAGTTTGGACTTTATCCACTCATTGATAATTTTATCCTGGTTAAATTATGGTGCGTTTGAATTACTGCTTATATAAGTATTTATTTATTTATTTATTTTTAAATGATGGCTTAGGTTACAAATTTAATAATTAAATTTATTAGATTAAATTGAAAATAACTTATTTTAATAAGTTATATCAAGGAGTTGATTAAAATAAGTTAAAAATAATTTGTGAGAGTATAAGTTGTTCCAAACAGGTCCTTTATCAAATTTAATTTTATGCTAACTATGTAATAGAATATCACTTAAGTCAATTTCATATCAATAAAATTAACTTATCGTTTTAATTTTTTATTTTTTTGGTCAAATTAACTTATCATTTAAAAGTATGAAACAACTAATATTAGTGACAAACATTCACATATTGAGCTTAATTACAAAAGAAAAAAGTTAGAAGTTGTATTCACATCACCGTTGGTCCTTATTTGGCATGTTTTTCTACCCAAAAAAAGAGAGAAATTTCCATGTTTGAGTCTGACAGTTGTGCAAAAACCAAAACACTTACAATGACAAAGATATTAAATTTTAACCTTATTTTTATGGTCAGTTGTAAGTATGTGACATATTGGTACCACATGAGAGCAGGGAAATGGAAAGAGATTCGATTTCGATAACATAGACAAAGTAGATATGTGGGGAAAAATCATTTTGTTCTTCATTTGTGGAAATCTGATGTGATAGAAAGTGTGATCATTAGCTTTTATTTTATTTTTGTTGCATTTCTTGCTATGTGGTTAGCTCATTAGATACATATTCAATTTGGGTTAGCTCGCATTGAACATGTTTCTTTAACCAATATATCTTGGAACTAGATTTTTCTTCATATTTCTCTCCTGATTTTTTTTATAAATGTTTTTTAAAAAGTATCTGTGAGTAGAATTATCCTTTAATACTGCCACAGCATTATAAATGGAGTACTTCCTCACTCTCTTCTCTTCTTTACATTCTATTTTTCTTCAAAATCATATTTTTAATTGTTCAATTAGTGGGTTCATATTAGAAGAGTCTAGGAATTTTTCGCATTAGTAAATTTATTCATGTGATAAATTAATCTTTAAAACTAGTGTCATTTGACACGTCTTAACCGATAGAACTATTAATTTTTACCTTTTTTCTAATATTTTTTCCAATATTTCTCTGGGAGTGAAAAAAGTAACAAGTGCTTATAATTCTTCTAGATTAATTAGTACATAAGACTGCAACCAAGTCAATATGAACTTGAATTAGCTTTTTAAAATTTAGTTTTTATTGGTGAACACAAATTTGCTCCAACATGGCTTTTTGCTATTTAAAAAAATATGACAAAAAACTTGAGAAAAGTGTGAACTATTATTTGAGCCCAAGATCAAACTGGTTATTCCCCAATTTGGAGCCTAGTGTGTTTGGGCTCATACCAGATTATGTCGTTCTCATTTTTGAAGCCCATGAACTGAGGTTCTTTTTTACCCAAAAAAAAGGGTTTTTTTTACCCAAAAAAAAAAAAGGCATCCAATGGACGAAATGTTACCAGCGTTGAGTGGTGTTATTGTTATTATTACAAGTTAGGATGTGCCCACAGTAAGATAATATTATATTAAAAACACTGAAATTTTTAATGTTTAATTTTTAAATAATTTAAAATATTTAATAAAATATATTAATGTTTTTACATCATGATACATGCAATAAAAAATTTCTTCAATTAATTTATCATACAATTTAGTCAACCTTAAGTGATTTACAAAAATACTCCTCTTCTATCGGCCAAGAATAAATATGTGATGCATAGTACTTTAATTTTATATAGAAATATTATTAATATTTTTTTAAAATGTATTAATTGTTAATTTTTTATATATTTTTATGTATTGTAAAATATATATTATTAAAGTACTCCCTTTTTAGTCATATAAATAGATATATTTATTCATTTAACATATAAGATATTAATTAATACTGTAATATTTAACAATAAATAAATTTATGATATATAATTATTTTATTTAATTTTAATAAAATAAATATTTTTTATAAATTGTACCATATGACCAGAGGTATTATATAATCCTCATCCAACTTTTAAATCATGCCCTCGAGATTTGATCAAAATCACTTTTACGTGACTCGTAGTTGGTATACATTATGACATAATCATATTCTATTTTTTTAATATCAATTTTGATATGTTTTTATTGAAAATTAATTATTACATAAATAAAAAAGTTCTATTTTAATTATCCATATTCACAAAACTGTTTTTGAGTCCATTTAATTTCAAATTTAAATAAAATGAATTTTAAATTATTAAATATAATCTTTTTACAGAATTTTAAGAAAAAAAATTCATTTAAAGACATAAAAAAGCTATTAAATTCAAATAGAACTTGTAAAAAAAATTATATTTATCTCACCAAAGTTATAAATGTGAATATAAAAAATATCTTAGGAGGTAATGTATGAAAGTTTTTGCTTATATCTTTTGGTTGTCTGGGTCTGGACCAACCAAGTACCAACTAAAGGGAAAAGCAAAGAAGCAACACATAATACAAAAACCAAAGGTATGATGAAAAGCTCAGAAAAATCAGAAAGAAAAGCTGTCTTGCAGTAATGCATAAGCACCACAAAGTTTTCAAAAGCAGTAGTTGTAGTAATGAATTACACACCCAAGGCCAAGGGTTGGGACCATTCCCATGTATGTGTAATCCAAAATTCACACCTACTCTCACCCCTCATTCTATTCCCCTATGTATAATATCTTTATTTTGACTTTACAAAATTATTATTAAAAATATTTTTCATTTAAATAAATATTTTATTTTAGATCTCAAAATCACATTTGGTTGACCTCAAAGAGTTAATTGAATAAAGTAAGAAAAAGAGTCTTATATTGAAGTAAATTTAACAAGAATAGAAACACAGATAGGTAGAACTCAACCTTGGAAATACAAATTTAGGTGGATGACTCGTTCATTCTTTTTCAAGGAAGACGGCAGCGTGAAATATTATATGCTTACTTTGATGATCTTTTTATCTTTCCCTGTTTGTTTCTTTTAAGCTGAAAATGAGATTCAAAGGGCATTGCCATTGCTCCCAATTCCAACTTAGCCATAGCTGTAAATTATTTGTCTCATATTACTTCGATTTTGGGTCAGATAGCAACGTTCGATTCACTTTCTCGAGACTGAGGTTAGGTTTATGCCCTGCCAGCTGCCTCCTCTGCTATTCTGATTGTGACGCAACTTCTTTTCCTATTCTTCTATTGTTCCATGTCCACACGTGCTTCCATATTTTTATATTCTTCACCAAAATTATACTTCACTTTCAATATTTTGTTCTCTGTTTTAAAAATATTTGTCAAAAATTTATCTTTTTATGTTGGTATTCTATTATTGTACTTAATATAAATATCAAGTTTTTTTCTTAATTTAGAAAATTATTTAAGACTACTATAATTTTAATACTATGGACTAAAACTGGGCAATTGCATTTGTACTCTAACTCATTTATGGCAATGGGCCATTCAGTGTTTTTTCCCTTTTGACCCACTGTTTGATGACATTTCCTTTAATTATAACTCCTTGACTACGCTCAAGTGGCTTCCTTCTGGCATCTCTTCACAAATATGTCTCTTAGTGTTAATTTTCAATTCCATGAAAAGAATTATCAATGTTGGTATAAAGATTGAAAAAAAAAATACTGCTGTTAAATATATGACGTGTTTAAATTTTTTATAAAACTAAAAGTATATTTAATTTGATTAATGGTGTGTATGTTTATATGTTAAAAGTATGTTTGATAATGTAAACATATGGTTTATTTAAAAGTTATAACTTTTTTTTTTTTATTAATAAATTGGTAAAGATGGTTTGTGAACAAAAAATAAATAAAGCTTGAAACTTCAAAAAGTTGGTAAATAAGAAACTATCTTTAAAAAATATTTAGTTTGATAAAAAATATGGCTATTAATGTTATTTTAAAAAATTTACATTCATATAAATACTTTTAACTCATTCAGTCTTTTGTATAGACTTGTCATTCTCATTTGCTCTTCATTCATTTCTTATTTGACATTTAAATAATAAACTGACATTGAATAAAATATTGATATTAATATCACATATCTTTTAACTATTTAATATACTTTTTAATATATCAAATAACTTTAATAAATTATAATTTTTTTTAAATCACGCGTATTTTTTTTTATGGTTGACAATATCATTCAAACTGAATAGGATTGTTATGTACCTCTTAATATTTAATACAAGCATTTATTAAAATTAAAATTCAAAACCACAAAATAAACTTCAAATTACCTTACTAATTATAAATTACAACTGTTAAAACTAATTTTACTCATTTCAAATCACATAAGATTAGTAATATCTCTTAAATTATAAATACTACATCACGTGTAAATGCAATAACTTGAACAACCATGCTTATCAACACATCAACATATTTTCCATCAAGCCATATTTAAACTACTCTTTCAATTTTTTTAACAAAGAATAAAATGATTTTTTTCTTAATTATAAAAATATAGGATAAAGTAATTTTTTATTATTAAATATATATTTACAAGATGGACTATTTTTCATAAAATTTATTAATTATACTATTTAATATTATAAATATTTGTAAAAAATATAAATAATTTAGTTATTTTTTTATTTTAAAAATTTAATCTTTTATTTCTTTTAAAAAAATTATCTCTTAATAAACGCAATAACTATTTTGGGCGATCCATGGATGATTTATTTATTTTCTGAAAAACATTATAGATTTCAATCAAAGCATTAAATACTTGGGACAGGAGGCAGTTGAAAAGTTGAACTCTTTCTTATAGAGTGTGCAAAGTCTAACATATATATGCTGCAAAATAGGGGAAAATTATGAATCTCAAATAACTAATTAGGTTACTAGTTTGGAAATATTAAATATTATATCTACAAATATATAATAAATACGCTTTTAATAGTTTAAAATTTTTCATAAAAATAATGGCAAATGTACTTTGCCGACAATTAATTAGTGACACATGATGCACCAGGAAGAAGAAAACTGCAGAAGTTCACGAGATGTGGTGTGGCACCATTCTAATGGCTAACATTAATTGTCAATTAATATTCAATTATTCATTACCTTCGTTCTACTAGGCCTCCTCATTTCTTCTACTTTTGCTACAATTATATGTAGGTTAAAAATGAGAAGAGTAGTAACAAGTATTCTTAATATTAAAAAGAAGGGTCTTGTTAATCACTAGATACTAATTGAAAAAATTAAATTGAATTTTCATTAAAATTATGAGAATAAGTATATTAACAATATTTTTGATATTTTTTTAACCAATGTTAATTAGTATTAATAATTAGGATTTTTTAAAGAAATTGGTGTTTTATGGGTACGGTGAATTAAAAAAAATCATGATATATTAACATAATAGTAATAAGATTTGTATTAAAGTTTGTGTTACATTGTTTTAATATTATCTTAAATTTTTCATTAGTTGAGTTTATAACTACTGTTTGTAAATGAGGATTTGTTCTTTAAATATAGTAATGAGAAAAATACAAAATGACACAATAGAAAATGGATTGATTCCACCCAATTGATTCGAAAGATAGAAGTATTGTTGGTTGATCGAACTAATGAAGAGTTTAAGCATTTTGCTTAGAGGATTAATTTCTGCCGAGCCAATATCCACATGGAACTTACATAAATGTAAACGAGTTAATGGCAAAAAAATGGTTAGGTGTGTTTATGGTAGTAAATGGCAAAAAAATTCAACCACCCATTTTATTTTTGTGGGACACTAAGGAGATATTTTTCGTGTGTACAAGTATTGTGTTTTAGTTCTCTCGAAATTCAAAATTAATTTTGATTTATGCAATCAATAATTACTTTTAAGAAAATGTTAATTAACTCTCTTAGGATATTAGTTAAAAAGTTTAAAAATATTGTCAATACATACTTTTTATAATTTTTAACATACTTTTAATGTAGTTTTATATACGATTTTTAAATTTATAACCAATGCTATGCTTAAAGTATTGATTACCAAAATTAATAAGCATGCTTTAAATATTCATTATGAATTATATTTTAGATTACTTTTGCGATTTTGTTACAATACATTTTTTTTCTTTATTTTTTTAGTGCATATCATGATTACATCGTAAAAAGTCTTAAATAAAATGTAAATATTAAGTGAGAATATTATATTTAACTTATAGTAGTATTTTATATCAATTTAAAACTTTTAAATTTATGCATATTACCTTAACTTTCTGTTTATTTTAAACAAAAGAAAACGAGGAAATAAAATATTTAAATTTAAATTTAGAAAATACTTAAAATTTAAAGAAATGTCATTATTTATACTCTCCTCTTTATTCTAAGCAGACCGTAAATATTAATAATTTTAGAATTGATAGAGTAATGATGCTCACTTATTCCTATAACACTATTTCCTTCGTTCCTTTTACATTATTTGTTACCTTATAATTTTGACATAAAACTTAAAGAATAACTTAATTATTTTCCTTTTTGTTAAAATTATTATTAATATTTTGTTATATATTATTCCTTATTAATTAATTATTTTGAATTTAAAAATATAATTAGAAACATTAATAATGTTTTTGTAAAAGAAAAGGAGAGAGCATTTTTGCTAATGACTTCAATCACAAGATATTGTCGGGAATTATCAATTATGAAGAAACAGTTTGTGTCTTGGGCGGCGAACGAGTCCAAAGCAGCTGTTTCCGTCTCTTTCCTTTGCTGTAACACTTTAAATTTTTTGTTAAAATTTATTAAAAGTTATAAAAATTATGTGAGTATTTTTTTTATTTTTACAAATTTTAATTAACAATAAAAATATATTAAAAAGAGTGCGTTAAAGTATTATTCTTCTTAATAATTATAAAATCTCTTTTGCTTTTCCCTTCTACTTCTAACGCTTTTGTCCTTTTTCTTATCAAAGACATAACCTTTTCCTTTTCTCGATAAACCTTATTTTATTGTATCCTAATGTCAAAATTTCTTTTTGGCATTAGTGCATCATCAATTGGTTTAAACTTATAAGCGTCTTCCGTGAAGAGTTAAGAAAGGACTTAACAGCCGTCATTACTAACCAAATACACGAGTCATTTTCAATCCACCTATAGAACTTGTCAATGGCAAAATTCCAATTAGGATGCATTATTTTTTGCTCTGATAAAAATGTGCATATCTGCAGCTTAGCTATAACCTAAAAGTTACAAATTACATCCATTTACACGGTTCCCAATACCATCAATAAAAACATTAAATTGGTTTTATATTCATTTATATACGAGCTTTTGAACTTAATGCAGAACACGCATTTGAGGGTTGTTAAAAGGGGGTTCATTATTAGCACGACAATGACATATTAAGATGCAATCATGGGGGTTTAGGTCTTCAACCCACCACATATGTAAATGATAGATAGTGATTTTGTAAATGCATGCAAGCAGCAATGAGCATCAGATTTAGTTAACCCTTGAAAGAACTGGGCTATATCATTTGAAACTGGTCGTTAAATGCAAAAGTAAATAACACAATTAAATAGAAGGTTCAAGTAGGACATTCATATTAACATATACAATATATTATATATCTTTTAAAAGAAACCCATGGTTCATTTGTATTTATATTAATATTAATAATATTATAATATCTCCTCTAATCCTCATATATACATCGATCAATCTCGTTCATACGATAGTGTAACTAATGTGCCTTGACGCATCGTACAAAAAAGCCCCACATCTTTGCGTCGTTTCGAAACGAACGACATTTTCGTGGCATCATGGTACCAGATGTGGAAGATTGCTTTTTCTTCTTCTTTCTTGGACCGTGTGATTTCAATTTCACAATCATCGCTCTGATGATCAGAGATCACGCACGTGATACGTTGATATTTCCTTCGCGCAAAAACTTGTTTTAAACCCTAGCTAGTAGTTAGCTACAGCGGAAACACGTAAGTAACATGCACCAACACGTATCGAACCGTTCCCCCTCCCTCTCGCTACTTAGCCAATCTGCTACAATCAGCGCCACCGAATCCCACTCTACGATTGGCCAGATCAAACTCCACCCACAGGTTTTGCTGGTGAAAATTTCCAATAATGTTACTGGCCGCACCCAATTTATCTGAGCTTGCAATCCCCACGCAATGGACCCCACTTCCAACGTCAGCGAGAACCCTCTCCTTGGGAATCACAATTTCCACGCCCTTCTCAAATTCAAACACCATGTCCCCTATCAACCGTCCGATCTCAACCGCGTTCCCATCAAAGCACATGTCAGCAACTCCACCGTACACGTAACCCTTCTTCATCCTTGGCCCTACAACCCTCACTACTTCCGCCCGCACCTTATCATAAGCCTCATTAACCAGATACGTAAACTCGGACCCGGAGTCAACCATGGTTTGACCAGACCCGCCAGCATCCGCACGGAAAACCGCCGGCGAAATATTCAACCTCTTCCCGCCGATCCTTATTCCCTGCATGGGGACGGTGTATGCCAACGGGTCAAGGTTCGGCATGCGTTGACTCTGAGCAAAAGTGCACATTTCAACATACTTAAACCCGGATGAATTCGGGTTGTCACCGAGGTAAAACGACCCGGTCGGGATGGATCCGGGTCGGGTTTGACGAATGGGTACGCAGTAAGAGAATTTAGTTATTTTTGACTGAGAACCGAAGGACAAGCGTCCCCGATTCATTCCCAAAATGCCCCTGGGGTCGGTAGATTCCGTGGCGCAACCGAGTATCAAGGGAGGGGTAGAAAGGGAACGAGAAAAGGTAAATTTTTCTCTGACGAGATTTCCCTCGGCGTATGTCCCGTCGGCGTAGAAGTAAGAGTAATGGCAGAGGCGGTTCTGGTCACACGAAGTGGGAAGGGTAAAATCGGGAATTCGGGGTTTACAAACAGGGTGAGTGCAAGGAAGGATAGAGAAAGTGGAAGAGAGAGAAGGGTCAAACGACGCCGTTGGGGGAGGTTTGGGTGCTTTTTTGTGACACTGAATCCAAGAGAGTTGGCTTCCGGTGTCCAACACCATTGGCTGAACCTGCGGTGGCGTTCCGATGGGAAGGTTCACGATGAGAGCCATCGAATACTTGAACGATAACTTGTAGTTGTAGGAAGAAGAAGGTGTTTTGAGTCGTGGGTTTGAAACCATAGAGGTATATAGCATCTTTGAGGTTGTGTTGGTGGAGAGAGAAAGTGGGGTTAGAGGGAAAGAGAGTGAGAATGAGGTTGCGGTGGTGTTGTGTTGTGAAGAGAGGTTAACGGAGAAGAAAAGGTAGAAGAAGAGGAGAAAGAGATGCATGTTGTTGTCGCAGAGCGGTGATGAAGACATTGTGAATTATGTGCGCGAGGATCGCAGGTTGAGTTGTGTGTATATATAGCAAAAAGGTAACGAAGGAAGGTGAGAGGGGGAAAAGAAGACGCGTTTTCTTCGGTTGAGTGTGTGGGGTGAATCTTATAATTGTTGGGGCAACGACAGGGTTAGATCTATCTCCATATCTTGCGATCCTACCCATTTCAATTTTGCTTCAAGATTTTTAAATTTGGAAGGTTAGATGGTTTTATTATTTCATTTATGTGAATGGGCGTTTGTCCTATGATCTCTGTCTCTTTGTCTATACCTCTGCTTTATTACGCCCCATACTTGTCAATCACTCCTAGATATTTGTGTACACATAAAGCATTTTTTCTTTTGAAATATTTTTAAAAACAAATTTCTAGTATATATTATATTTTATTAATTATAACTCAATTTTTATTTTCATAAAATGCTATATTTTATATTATTGTAAATTATTTAAGTAAAAATATAATCTTGATTAAACAATAATACTTAAACTACTTGTATTATTACACTTGTATATGTTTTATAGTGAGTAGAAAGATTTTGTTCTAAGCTCAGTAGCATTTGATATGGGGACGTTGATGTTAGTCAACCACAGCTGTGAGCTGGGAAGAAGAGAAGAACTCGCCTCTGACCACCCACCATTACATCCGTAGGACAGTAGCTGACGTATATAGATGCTAAACACGAAACCAAAAACAAACCCCTTTCAAGTGCTAACCCCACTCTTAGAAATCCATTCAAAACTGTTTATTTAATTACTCATATAATCATTTTTATGTTATAAAGTTAATCACTCTTTATGAATTATATTAAAAAATGTATTTAAATAACTTCTAAAGCTTTATTTCTAATCACTCAAATTTTATGATCTTATATCATATTTACATATTTAATATATTCTTTTGATATTAATATATATTTAAATATAATGATATAATATATAAATAAATTTTAATTAATATTATATTATTTTATAAAATTATTCTCAATTTTTATAAATTTAAATTTTATTTTGAATATTTTTATTCTTGAGATATGACATTAATAATTATATACAACTTTTAAAAAATTACACAACGAATTTCTATAACTTAGGTTTCTTGTAAAATATTAATTTTCACCTTGACATTGACATTTAATATAAAACTTAAACCATTAACTAATATTATTTAATGTTAATAAAAATTAAATTATCTTTATTTTTTAACTATAAATATTATAAAAGATATGATAAAAATATCATTAATTTTTAGACAAAATTAAAATATTAATTAAAAGTATATATTTTTAATAAATAGAATTATTTTTTATTTATATTTGAGATCAAAAGAAGAAGTAACTTTATCGATAATTTTAATTATTTAAAAGAATGAGTATTGTTAAACGGCTTTAATATTTTTAGTATTTTTTTATTTTATACTCTTAATCAATATTTTTGGAACAAATATTACTTTTAAGTTCATCGTGTTATTAAGAACTGTATTCAATGGCTATATCCTCTGCAATTTTTAATTGTACTATTTATAACTTGTTCCTAATATGATGTCGAAAAAAAACTTTGATTATGTATTGACAGGATTAGGTGTATAGCTTAGATTGGTTGAGAAAAAAAAATTTAATTATATCTTTTATAATTATAATTAACTATAAATATAATTTTATGCTAAAAAATGTTAAGTAAAAGGTGATTTTAAGGTAATATATTTTGTTTGAATCATTTAAAAGTAATTTTTCGTAAAATTTAAAATATAAATATAAAGACCAGAGAAAAAATTGTATCAGAATCCATAATAATCAATTTTATTTATTTTCTAAATCTTTACACTTGTTTTTATTTTTTAATTATATATAATTAACATGTAAGAATATATATATTCAACGGGCACTTTAGAACTTTATATTTGTTAACGAGGAATAATGACTCTTATATTTTTTATCTATCTATCTATCGTGAAAATGATTTCTTTTACAGTAACTATATATTAAAATTTATAGTAAATGAGAAGTTATAATTATTTATAAAATTATCCTTATGAATTAATTTAATGAATATTATGATGATACATTTTTCTTTTGTAAGTAAGATGAGAATTTTGCAGTGTCTTCTAACTTTAAACCAAGCAATTGTGTATTTATGTTGTCTGAAATTAATGAGCTACAAATCTTTGTTCCAATTTACAATCCCATAACTTTTGTATAAAATGTTTAGATTTTCTTTTTCAGTACATTATAAAATTTGTTTACTTGCATTTTATACTAACAGCTCACGCACTATGTCTCCTAACTTGAATGCATACATTTGAAAATTTGTCCGACAAGCTTGCATATTTAGATTGCTTTTTTATGCCACATTAAGGGAATCTAGTTAGGTAACTATCTTGTATTTTTTTCTGTTCTTTTTATATATTAAAAAAAATAATTAAAATTACATTAAATTTTTAAAAACTAATTATAATATTTTGAATTTATTTTTATTTTAAGTCAAATTTTAATGTTATATTAATTATTAAAATTTTAAAAATTTAAGTTAAAGTACACATTTTTAACACTTATTTATAAAATAATTTTTTCATATAAACAATTTACACGAGTGCTTAGTGACATCTTAATCTTTATCGATATAATATTGTTAGAAAAGAAAAGTGCGATCCACTGAATATTAACATTTATTAATGATGTTTTAATGGCAAAAAATATTAAAATATAATAAAATACTCTACTAGAGATTAAAATGTATTATTTTAATATGAAAATTAATTAGTAAATATCTGTCAAAGTGATTAAATATGTACTTTAATAAAAGAAATTAATATTTATAAAATTTAATAAATATGTATTATATTAACAACCACACAATATATCTTTAAAAGAGTTTTATAAAATAGATAAAAGAGAATATAATACTTCTACCGAGGCTTCATAGATTTTCTTTGGGAGCTGGTAACTAGTTAACATTCATGAATGAGTGTCATGCTTTTATAACATAAGATCAACATAGGGAATTAACATCAGATACCTCATTGACAACGAGAAAATTAACACTAGAAATTTTATGCGTATATAATATTCCACACTTGCCCTTGCTTTAACAAAACTCACAAATTAAATAGAATTATACTTTTCTAGGTTATATCAAAACATTAAATTTTAGAAAAGGCTGAGAAAAAAATAGAAAAAAGATAAAAAAAGTAAAAAAGGAATATTAACGATACACACACACTAAGACGCTATTCCTAATATACTCTATTGATTGAAATTTATTAAGAATTACAACATTATGTAACTTTTATTCCAATAAATTTTAGATGTTAAAAAAAGTATTATAAAATGTACTATTAAAGTAAAATGACTTAAACTTGTCACTGATAAGAGTCATGAACTAATACGTAAAATAATAGACTTTTGTTAGCCTATGAACATATAGAAACATATTTCAAATGCTGTCTAGGATTTTGGTTGAGAAGCTCTGAGAAAGGTTTTCCATTATTTTGCTTTTACACGCTTTGTAGAATATGCATTGATGCTCAAGACAAGCTAGCTAGATATCGATCAGTGGTTTGGGAAACACAACGCTGATATATAATCATTGGAAACCTTAAATATTAGACCACTGAAAAGGAGAGTTTAAAGCTGTATTTCGGAATCTTAAAAATTTACACAGCTGATCATTAATACTCGTCTAAACCTTTCTTTAACGAGATAGTTATCAACAAAGTTAAACCAACAGCACGAGGTTGAACTTTTGGGCTAAAATTCATATCTTCATCTGTAAAGAGATTGATCAAAGGGGCCAAAATGAAAGAATCATATATATACACAAGATGATTTTACGGAATTAAAATATAATAAACAACTTTATTTAATTATATGAGATGCACTGAATATGGTTGGTCGTAATTATAGGGGGGGAATATTTGTCATCGCCGACTATTGTTTTAGATTTTATAGGATTATATAATCATTATTATTAATGTTAATGTAATTTTGTGTCGAGTTCTCATGTCACTCATAACTGTTTCTTCCATTAATCCTTGTCTTTTTTCTCAGTTCTGTAGTGTTGAGATTTTTCGTTTTAAAATATTGGCTGATGGAATCTATCAAATTCTAAATATATGTATACAGAGATAATTCACGGGTTGCACAAAACATTTAGACTAAGAATCACAAATTAGAGCAGACAGATTATGGTGTCGGTAATCTTACTAACATTTCATTATGGAGATGGATAAACAAAAAGAACAAGAAGTTAAATGACGCTGCTTCAGCACTTGGAGAGCAAATAAAAAAGTGTGTTAGTAATTAATCAAGAAAGGTAGCGGGATTGAGTCTGCCCTAATTATGATTCTTAATTAATTAAGAGCCTATTTGTAAAATTAATTTTTTCAACGTCACAAATTAAATTAAAATAATTTTATTATTGAACACGTAGATCAAATTATAAAAATTATTTTAATTTAATCTGTGTTAAAAAGTTAGAATAGTTTATTTACATGTTCGGTCGTAAAAAAAAATAATTTTTTTAAAAATATACTATATATATATATTGTTTTATAATTTTTAATTGAACTTAATTTTTTAAAAATTACTTCTAATTTTTTAACCAGGATCTTTAAGGCATTAATTACGTACCAAGATCCTGTAATATATTCTTATAATAATTTTTGTTTTTTATTATATTATTATTTATCTTTATCTCATATATTTTTTTTCATATTTATGAATAAATTGTTGAACAAATAACGTTTATTTGTTTTTATTATTAACCCACTCTCTTTTCAAAAGTAGATCGGAGTTGTAGAGAGCAGATTAAAAATAAGAGAAATGTAAATTTTTACTTAAAAAGTGCCATGATTAAATTTATTGATTAATATGAAAATATAACAAATTAATTAAAATGAAAGAAAAGCCAACCAAATTAGATAAGTCCTATTTATCATCATTAGAACCTCCTAAAAAGATGTACTTGTAGAAGCCTAGCTAGAGAATAGACAAATG